GTGTGAAGAGATTTCAAAGACAGCTGCAGGATGTGAAGCCCACTCCAGACTGTATGGCAGCTTATTCTACAGTTTAAGACATGCAAGAATGTTAGCTGTTTTCCTTGATAATGTGCAGGCTTGCAAAATAAATTAACCAGTTTTAATTATGAGCTCTTCTAAAGAAATGTTAAGCGCTAGATGTATAAACTGTTAGAAAAGCAGAAGGTGAAATGGGTTTAAAATTGATTGAGTTTTTGAAAATGTGACTGCATTAACAAAACTAGATTAAGGAGGCATGCTATTGTGGTCTTTTCAAATGTAAATAAAGTCAGGGTATCTTTCATCTAAGTTACATTCTGTGTTTAATATGCTGCCTTATGTTTTCTGATGTCATGCTTTTATTTGTAATTGACTATTAAGTAGTATTAGTATTTCCAATGTGCTTGGTAAATTCAAAACAAACCATTTCTGGCAGTAGTCCATTGCAATCTTTAATTCGTGCTACTATATCCTATAACGTTTCTGCTACTTTTTATTTCAATTGTTGTGCTGTTCTTGGAGATAGTTAAGATTTATTAGATCAAATTAAATGTGGTTTTGAATTTCACTTTGATGCTTACCTTATTTGGTTTACTGCACACATGAAATCACTAAGCTTATATGTTAAAAGATTTACAAAGTAACTATGATAGTGCATTTTTCCCCACTATACAGTATATTAACTTTTTATATTTAAGTTTATTATGACAGTCAATGTGGTAGTTATGTTGCATATATTGTGATTTTAAATATCATTTATCATACTGACTGCTCAACAGTATAAATTTCTTTAAATATTTTAGATATTGGAAAACTGAAGGAAGTAATGGAAGAAGTTGAAAACTCGATTAATAATTTCAAAGAAGAACAGCGGCAAATGTAAGTAAATATAACAGAACAAATCACTGCAAAATGTCCTGTGTTGTCCTTTGTTTAAAGACATTATTCATGTAAGTGGACTATTGTCATGTATTATTCTGGTTGTCCTCTTAGCTACACTATCGAAAGTGCTGTATTTTTGTTTGTTCTTCGCAATCGGGCAGAATAAATAGTGGTTCGGCTAGAGAACTGGAATGAATCTCAACTCTTCTTAGTTATGAGGAGCTCTTGAACGAAGAGAAGACGTGCGCTCAGGAAATCCTGGGCTTGGAGAAGAAGATTGATACCTGGGCTTTAGCAGTCGCTGCTCCACCGCAGACCTGTTCCAAGGTCCCACTCGCCAAGTCGATCGAGGAGAACCTGCCTGCTGAAGTGGCGGAGCTTGAAAAGTTCCTGCAGCAGACGGGAGGGAGGCAGGGCGGCTGGGATGACTTTGATCATCAGAACTTCCTAAGAGTCTGGACAAAGCACAGCGGGAAGCCAGCATACCTGAAGGAAGCACTGATGTATCTTCCGGGCAGAACTGAGGAAGAGATTAAACTCCATGAAAACTGGTATCAAGAGTTTCTTTTCCTTGAAGAAAGGAAAAAGGAGGTAGGAATTTTTTTTTGTTTCATTTTAGCTTGGCCCCACTGCTCTCTAATCCTTTCTTCATTAATTTCAAACAGTTAGGCACACGCGGGTGCGTATGAGATTTTGTGATTTCCCTTCCAAACTCAAATTAATTCTCACGTGCATTATCGACAGTTCTTAACCTTTCAAGACACTGCCCTCCAGACTTATTCTTGCGTCGAAACGGGAACAAAACATAACAGAGTTACAGGATGGATAATGCTTAGGGAATTCTAAAAATGGTATGCTCTAATCTTTATAGCTTTGCACTAAGAAAAGCCATTTTATCATTCTTTACATTGGGAACATATGAAGGTTACATTCATTCACATCTCCATAGTTAGTATTTTGTAAATCCTATAAGATCCTCTGGCGTGACATACTGACAACATGCCTCCTGTGCCATGAAGTTCTCATTTGAGGGGAGATTCGTGACCATTCCTGTGTCCGTTGCAATATGTTGTTTCCAGTCTACCTGAAGACTCCAGTGTGCGTAGATCTCTGTGGCCTCTGCACTTACAGTTGCCTTCCAAGCCACTTGTCTCACAGCCCACGGTGGCTAGATCCATTTGTGCTCTCTTTCCAGCATGGTTGCCACTATGCCAGTAGCCTTAATGTTTAAGAATGAGCACTTTGGAAGACAGTAGTTCTTGTGGATTCTTTAATAGCTCTCCCCCAGCTTCTGGAGGTCAGTGGCTGGGCTTTACAGAGCGGTCTAATCTTGACAATAATAATGCATCGTATGCTTCAATGTCTTCCATTTGTTACCTTCTGCTATGTCCCTGGGAAACTGGAACTCTGCAGAGACATCTGTAAAGTTGTGTTGGATTTTATAGAAAGCAATAATCAGAGGTGTAAATAAATGCCACCCTCTTGTTTCCTGAAATTCAGTTATTTATGACAACTACTACTTTGCTCGGTGCAATCCTATTATGACCACAGTACAATATTTCAATTTTTTAACAATACAATCTGTAAATCTTTTTTATGTAAAGATCTTTCTTTGGGAGGATGCATAAATCTGAATGGCTGTACAAAACAGATATTAAAAGTAATATCACGGAGCTGTCTAAGAAAACCACTGTTCCAGTGCTGGGAGTTGCACTTTTTTGTTCAGTGGTCTAGCATGAACTGTGATTCATCTGAGCACACTGAGTGTTTCAACTGGACTGTGGCACTTTGTGGATAATATTCGATGATTACTTGCATTTACAGTATATGGTGCTTTTCATTGCAAAACATCTATAAGAGGGGACCTACTTCACCCACCTGAGTGATGTATTCCAGCCTTTAGCCCCAGTGCACAGGAGTTCAGGTGGAGAAGTGAGAAACTCCTTCACCATTTGAATTAAGGGGGAACTTTAGGAAGTTCAGGTGATACAAGCCCTTGGAGGAATTTGGTCAGGATTCCGGGGGTAACAGTCCCACTCTTCAGTTCTGTTTATTTGTCATATGCGCAAGTGAAATGAAATGCTTATTTACATGTTTGCTCCGATACGAAGGCATTAATAAATCACCAAAACATAAACACGGAACAGCAGCAGCAACAGCTAAATAACATACAGCTTTAAAAAAGGCAACTCGGCACAAGCCGTGTGAGAAGAGAAAAAAAAAACATCAGCGTGAGTCAGTGTCGGGGCACAGTTCAGTAATTTGACAGCTTGTGGGAAGAAAATGTCTCTGAATTTGGAATTTCGTGCCTTCATGCTCCTATAACTCTTACCACAGGGAAGGGGGGAGAAAAGTGAGAAACCAGGATGACCGGTACCCTAAGCATTACTTCTGGCCTTCCTGAGACAGCGAGTAGTGAAAATGTCCACAGTAGAGGGGAGCTGTACTCCAATGATGTACAGGGCTGACCTGATCACCCCCTGTAATGTCTTCTGGTCAGACAACGAGCTTCTGCCAAACTGCACTGTGATCCCACACTCTCAAAAGCGCACCCGTAAAATGTGGTAAGGACGGTTGAAGACAGGCCAAGTTTTTTCAGCTGTCTGAGGAAAGCAGTGCTTTCTCTATAGCTCCAGTTATATGCTGGGACCATGTGAAATCATCAGTGATGAAGGTACCCTGCTAACCATCTCTACAGCCACCCCATTGACGTGAATAGGCACTTTTCTCTTTTTGCAAGTGTCATGGGATCATTAATGGCCACGGAGTCAGAACTGAGGTTTTGAGTCTGGCCCAAAAGATGGCGTGCCCTACAGCACGTAGTCCATTTGTCGCCATAATGAGGATGGGGGGCTTTTTTAGAAACTGTGCTCCAGTGGGAAGACCGCCACCTGCTGTAGTTGTCCTCCATTAACACCTCAGGGGCAATCCCAGCCTTTCTGGGAATCCTGCTGTCCGGCAGCTCACTTGTGCACATCCTCCAGGCGATAGCGAAGTGGAAGAGTAAGAGGCGACGGGAGAAGGAGGAGCTGCTGCAGCAGAAGGAGACGTCCGAAGGAGAGCTGGCGAGACAGCAGGCGGCGCGAGAGGAGGCCCGGCGGAAGAGAGAGGAGCAGGAGAGGAGGGAGAAGGAGGCCCAGCTGCAGGACTGGAGGGGGCAGAAGGAGCAGCAGCGGCGCCGGGAGGAGCAGCGGCGGCTCCGGGAGGAGGCGCTCCGGAGGAGGCGCGAGAAAGAGGAGCGGCGGCGGCAGCTGGAGGCGCGGCTGGCGGCGGAAGAGTACGCGCGGCAGAAGAGGGAGCGGGAAGACCGCCTCCGGGTCGAAAACGAGCTGCGAGAAAGGGCGGAGCTGGAGGAGAAGAGGAGGCAGGCCGCCAGTGAGATTGTGAAATTCCAAGAGCGAGTAAGTGCCCCCGGTGATTTGTGAGTTTCCAAAACCAAATGACTTAATTATAGGCCATTTTCTTTTACAAAACGAAGCCTGGATGAATGGTGAGTTAATAACATGGACAAGAATGTATATAGAGGTAGAGTATTTAACAGAGCATGTTATTACATGGCCAGCAGCTGTATCACCCTGCAGCTCACAACTGGCAGCCCACTGAAGCTCAACAGGTGTGAGCCTGGTCAGTACCTGGATGGGAGACCTCCTGGGAAAAGTAAGGTTGCTGCTAGAAGTGGTGTTAGTGGGGCCAGCAGGGGGCGCTCACCCTGCAGTCTGTGTGGGTCCTAATTCCCCAGTATAGAGATGGGGGACACTATGCTGCAAAAAGCATCCTGACTCTCATTGAAAATCCCTGGGCGTTTCTCGAAAATTATCGCAAAATCTTTTTAGGGACATCAATGCTGTCCATCTAGAAAAAAAAATAAATTGAACAATGTCTTCAAAAATGAATTTAGGACTTGGGAAGGGACAGTGTATAAGAGGATCCCTTAGATTTGAAGGACAAGTGTTGGTTACCAGTGTCTTAAACGGACATGTTAAGGAGTTCAAGATTTTCTGGATTAATTGTTATAATAATCTTCATCCTCAGGATCTTCTCAAATTAGAGGTCAAGCTACAAGAAAAACAAGCAAAGGAGGAGGATAAAGCTGAGCGTGAGAAAAGACTCGCCAAGCTAAAAGAGAAGGTGAGGAGGTAGCAAAGCATCTTGAAAACCAGGTCTTGAAATGTCAACACCCTCTCTTGTTGGGAACAGGGCCTCTAGGAAAGAGTGGGGCTGAACTGTGTGAAGTTCTGGATCTGCCTGCCATTGCAGTTGGATCAAAATGCAAAACCATACATATTCACACGTTAGGTATTTGTTAAATATTGAATTCTCCACCATTAGCAAAATATATATGATATTTTTGGAAACCTTCAAGGGCTGTCTTTTTTTGTCCCTGAGGGCTACTTCTCTCATGGGGGCTGTAAGGGCCAGCCACTGCTGTACAGTGAATTCTATTACAACATTGCTCTTCAAGTCCTCTGGGAACTGCTCCCAGAGGGTGTATTGCAGAAGTCGCAAAGTCAATTTTTCTGATGATTTGAATTTTGTTCCAGGCTGAGCAGTCAGTTAAACAGTACATCTAAAGTGAACTGTATTTCAGCCATTTACAGCGCCTTTAAAAGGTTCCAAATGTTGCTGGGGTACAAATTATACTCCCACGTCTTTTTCCCATCAGAGGAAACCCACATGCTCAGACAGATTTTTTTTTTTAAAGACAAATTTAGTTACTTGTCAGCAGGTATCGTAAAGAAAGTCAGAAAATAAAATACGCTGCTTGCATAAGTAGTGGCTGGCTGTTTTGTCTTTACATTTTTTTTCCTGTTTGAGCATGTGAGTTTGCCATAAGAATACTGGAAAAGCACATTGAAGTATCATTTGGAATCCAGCAATATTCGAAAACTTTTAAAAGAGTCTTTTGCAAGGCACCGTGTCACGTGAAAATGTGAGGTAACAATTTAGTTGAGTGAGTTGAGAGGTATTACAGTGTTGTGGTTAATTAAATTGTTAAATGAACAGTGTTGAACTCGGTTGGCGCAAAATGCTGAAAACATTAGGCCCTCCATGCATTAAGCTTGAGACCTCAGGTACAGTATACAGCATATCTCTTGAATATATAGATGTGTGGCGTATATATCCTTTCTGTACTGAAGAATCCTTCTTATTTTGCTTTAAATGAAGGTGGAAGCTCACATAAGCAGAGATCCCTCAAGACTCTGGAAACCCACAAAGGGCTGGGAAGAACGCACTAAAGAGATCGGTCCAACAGGGGGAGGCCCTGTGTTGCACTTGCCTCATAGGTACGTCTACTGAAACTAACCTTGTATTCTCATATTGAAAGATGTTTTTTTTAAATATATATTTAGTTTAACTTATGTTTTTTTTTTTCTTTCACAGAGCGGTCCCAAGTTGGAGACAAGGGATATAAGCAGGATTGTTATCACGAAGGAATGAGGATGGTCAAACATTGTAGAAAAAAATAATGTGATTTCATACCTCAATTTCAAGCGTTGTTTTTTTAAATGATGACTCTTGTATATATTATACTGGTGTGACTCTTGAGTCTTTATATTTTTTTACATTGATCTATAATTCTTTGATAAAACTGACTTTTTGTGGGATAAGTTGTTGCAGTATTTGTTACTTCTGAGATGATTTATTTAAATTGTCTTCTAATCTGTATTAGTTGAATTACATTGTCTAATAATAGTCTTGAAGCAGTTGTAAGTTTAGACTACTATAATGGTTAGGCTTTCTAATTATAACAGGAAGACAGAAAAGTAAAAGGGGGGACTTTTAGCCTGTAACATGCCCATTCAGCTATGGAGATTTGTGCAGTTTCACACGGGCAAATCAACTTTATTTCATTTAAGAGATACTGTAGTCTCTCACTGCTCAGGATAGAAGACATTAATATTGAACATATAATAGTGTCTGCTTGTCACGTAATGGACATACAGTCACCAAGAACAAAACAGATGTAATCTTCGGTTTCCCATTCAATTTATTGAACAACAGTGGAAGTCCTGATCAGCCATTTCTGTAAGATACTGTATCTGGCTTTGCACCAGAAGGCATTTAATTGAACATTTACTTCAAAAAACATTTCTTCTAAGGTTTAAAGGATAGTTTTGTGTTTTTTATTCTTTTTTTTCCAGTTTTAAAATGCAACACTGAAGTTTAGAAAACATTGTGCCTACTTGATACATCAATAAATCTGAGTTGTTTTGCATCCAAACCTATAGAATATTGCTTGTAAGAATATTACATTGCTTGTAATTCTTCTATAATATCTTGCTACAGAATCCTTTCAAAAGTACCTGAATGCAGTTCAAATTTCATAATTTGTCATTGAATATTTTTATTATATGTTTAATGTTTCTGTAGATCATGTCCAGCATTGCAATATATGATCAATGGAAAAAGGTGTATAGATGAAACAATCTCTGATAAAAGGGGAATATGGAGTGTTCATTAATTATATATACATTCTCCTTAATGAGACAGATGACAAGGAAGTAAGACCATACATAATGCTTATTATTTTGGGTCAAAGCACCTAACTCAGAATTAACTTAATGAAAATGAGTTGCCTTTCTTAAAATGTTTAATAAACCCCTACTAAACCATAACTTGTGATTTGACAAAGTATTATTATGCAAACAGTGTAAGTCAGAACCCCTAGCTTCTGTGGCTGTCTGGCTACATTTTATTGCTACTGTATGGATAGGATTATTGTTATCATTCCTCATTCGTGGTGAGTCTTCTGGTAGGTATGAATCTACAGCAGAACTCTGAGCCCAAGCATGTAACATTAGTGATGTCACTTCCTAGGCATTTTTTAGGTAGATTTTTCCACGGTTGATGACCCTTTAGGCATAGTGAAGCTGGCCAATTATTGAGCTGAGCACAGCTGCTAACATAACTTTCTATATGGTTTCCATATACTGTAGAGAAGTAGTAGTGATTTGGTTTTTACTTTTAATTTAAACAACAAAAGAAAATACAATACAAACAAGAGTACATATGTCAATAACATTGTCAGGGGTACATATTACAATACAAATACCCATCATGAAAAAAGTTTAAACAGAATAAAGACAATGTCTGCACAGCTTTCATGTTTTACATTTTGAAATTATTTTTATGTCCATTTTAAAATGCTCAAACATGGGACTCTTCAAAGACCATTTCACTTTATGTACAGTATATAACAACCTGCCAATATAATAATTAAGTCAATTACAAATGGTATTTTTGTATTATTTCCAGTGAGATTGTAGTTTAACATCAGTTTGTTTAAAAATAATATCAATATTAGCCTCTTATTGTAATACTGTGTAAGTTTGCAAATCAGACCAGAAGGTTTTTACAGTAGGACATAATTTGTTATTACATCCATAAATCAAAATAGCCTTTTGCTGTAGTCTTACACAAGCTGTAATTTCTTCCATAGTTTCTAATGGACTACTAATGCAATTCCTTAAAAGAATCAAAACGTCCCTAGGGATCGCATTAATTACAGTAAAATATTGATCAGAATAAATAGAAATAGTATATATGTTAAAGTTGGTGTAATTATATATTTCACCATCAACATTAATTAATTGTTTAAACCAAACTATGCCATTTTTTCTAGAAATTAAAATCTGAAGAACAAGCGTGCGTCTCTTGCAAAAAAATAAATCTGCAGTAAACCTCTTGCAATACAAAAAAGAGCCTTTCGTTTTGTCAAATCACGAATACCCCTGACATTAATAGAAAAAAAGTGACAAAGATAAAAAACAAACTTTAACAAGAAAAAACTTTTACATATTTCTTCGGATAAAATGTAAAACCGAGGTCCTGACTAGCTGTGGTCATTAAAAATCCCAGGGCGTTTCTCGAAAAGAGTAGGGTTGTAACCCTGGCATCATGGCCAAATTTCTCACTGGCCTTTATTGATCATGGCCTCCTAATAATCCCCATCTTTGAAATTAATAGCTGAAGTGTGGGGAGCGCTCTGGCGCACTATGGCTGCCGTTGCATCATCCAGGTGGGGCTGCACGTTGATGGTGGTGGAGGGGAGTCCCCATCACCTGTAAAGCGCTTTGAGTGGGGTGTGCAGAAAAGCGCTATATACGTGTAAGCAATTATAAGCAATATTAACTCGGGGGTCTTTATTAGAAGTAGTGATTTGTCTCTAAACGCCAACGTTTTTAACGATAAATTAACGTATTTGTTGCTATATTTTCTATGTACATCAGGGTTAAATGTAATTTTGTTAAACTATTCCGTATTCATTCCCCCGTGTGATGCCTAAAGTCCCTTGGAATGAAATGCGCTATACAAGTACAGGTTAGCAGATAGAGCTCTACCTACTACCATAGAGCTCTAGCTGATAGTTTCCAGGATGTGACGTTTCCGGAAGTTTTTAGACAAACATGGCGGAAGACGAGAATCCATTTGGCGACTTTGAACAAATAGACTTTCTGAGAGACCGGCATGTTAAATATTTCCAGAGATGTTTACAAGTCTTACCGGAGAGATACTCTTCCCTGGAGACCAGCAGGTATATAAAGTGATAAAAAATATTCTTCCCGGTGTTCGTCGACACTGCCGTTTCTTCCTGTAAATGTATGGTGTTTCCGCTGCATTTCCCTCCGAGATATATGATGGTTTTAAACTTCCGAAATGCTCTGCAACGTTACTTGTTACATTTTTTTATTTAATTTTATGCGTGTGCCTCGGTAAATTTTATACGACCGCCGGGCTTTGGAAGACTGAGTGAAAATGAAATTCTTACTATATAGCTGCTGTGCTGATTGTTGCAAGTAATCCATAATCATATTTATTTATTAAATACAATTATAATTAACGAAATAATGAGTATTCTAGTGCAATAACTTATGTCGAATTTAAGCAAATATTACTAGTAAAGACATTGAATTGATAGAGCTACAGTATCTGTAGTTTCCTTCGGTTGCCGATGTGTATACTGTATACACATCTTTTGCGTGGTGGCGATGTTACTGCATTATATAGTAGCTTCGTTTTGTAGTACTTTTCTTCAACACTTTTAACATTGAGCCTTCAGCTAATTATGGTGTATATTAGGTGTCAATCTAATATACAAGAGTATATTCAAGTATTACACGTAACTTAATATCATAATATGTACCATTTCAAATGGAAAGAATGACCTGTGTCAGATGTACCATGTCTGATAGTCACTTTTAGAAATGTTGCCTTTTCCCACCTCAGACGGCAGCTTCGTTCTTTCTTCTGTATCATGCAATGTTGTGGAGTTTCCACAAGTCAGATCTTCTACCTCTGTTTTGGTTATTTTAAGTTCAAGGTTCTTACAAGTAGAAGTATGTTTGATTTCTGCAGTGAGAAGACTGGCAGCTGTTGATCATTCTTCTGTCTTTATAATATGATAATTCAGTGATGATAAGGTGTGATTTCAGTGCTATCATGCATCCTGAATTATGTCTTCCAAATGAGGCGAAATGCATTGATATTAACCAACCTTTTTTAAACCATAAACTATTGTAAATGGTAGTTTGTGTGTTCAGTTAAAATGTTTATCAGAATAACCTCCATATTATTGATATTCTATAGACCATTATCAAATTCCAATGATGGAAAGCCACAAATGCTTGGAATCAAAAAGTGCACATTCTCTTTCACACACTGAAGCACACCTGCACACGAAGGCCATGTTTCATGCCTTGTCAATTTAAGACAATTCATGGTATGATGTTTGAACTAAACTAGACTTTACCTTTAGTACTAAGTGCCACCCTGATGTAGTAGTTGCACTATAATTAAAATAGACAAGATTTCATTTTTTTTGTGCCCACATGCATTCTTTTGGCTAAGCAGGATTTAAGAAATTCATTCATTCTACCTTTTGACATTTGAAAGACCTTGAAGATTTTGGCTTCCCTCTTCTGTCCTTACACCGCTTTTTTCTCTTTCACACATCTGGATTTATTTTTTCTTCTTTCTTCCTCTTTTTATATTAATGTTGAATTTATACAGTTTGTTTAGGTACCAAATCTGCCATACTATTATGACTGTTCACATTTGCTCATACTGTTTGTGGTACCATGTAATATTCTTTTGTTTTCTATGAAAATCCAATAAACAAATTGAACATAAATGGGTTCACGTATAAGAACACTGACATTGGCCTTTATAGGTTTAGACTGCATCTGATTTGATTAATTTTATGATTATAGTGAGATAATTTATAATATCATTGCCTTGGTTGTAATGTTCTCAATTTGTCTTTTTCTTCAGGTTAACCATTGTGTTTTTTGCACTTTCTGGCTTGGATGTACTGGATGCCTTGGATATTATTGATAAACCTGATTTAATAGAATGGATCTATTCATTACAAGTCCTTCCTACTGAAGACAGTGAGTTTTGCACTTCTGTGAATACCCTCTGTCAACTCTTAGTGCAGGAAACTAGACACAAAAGTAGAGCCTGCTTTAATTTAATACACATATACTCAGTCACAACTTGAGGAGAACACCAGGCTTCCAGGTTTAGAAAGCCCTAATTATTGCAGTGTATACAAGCTGTGTTATAATTTTCTTTGTTATGAATTAATATTTATAATAAAGAAGTATTGATCTTTAGAACTCAACCTATGTAGGTCTATTCAAAGTCATTTAAAAAAGTAAAAAACATCTAAAAAATCTGTTCATTGGAGCCAGTAGTTATCTTTGAAGGGGGTTCTGTTGCTCGAAGTGGTTCACACATTGTAGTGTCATGTAGTCTTGGAAACTTGGGTTCAGCTATAGCACTCTTTATGATGCTTATCAGATGCCTTTAATTACCAGTGTAAACTGCAAGTGAAAATCAACGACCTGTTCATTATTTATGAGTCGCAGAATTTAAATTTAATGAAGTGGTCCCATGTTGGTATTTCTGTGGCAAGGAATGAATAAGGTAATGAGAAACATACTGGGTCGTGGGGTGAGTGGTGAAGTCAATAATCATGAAACATTGAGCAGTTTTAAAGGAGTTCATTGACCTTTGGTCTGTGTATCCTTATCAGTACATTATTTTATTAAATGCTTTAAATTCACTGACGTCATTAGCTCTTGCTGTGTTTGGATTTCTTTCCATAAAGCAGAGTACTATTTGTGTATTTGCACTATAACACACCTAAAAAGTATATACCGGATAAATTCTTAGTCTGAAGTAGTTCAAGTAGGTAGCTGCATCAGCATGTGTAGACTGCAAAGGAACAAGTAAAGGTTTATTTCATGCTGAAAAGAGAAGTAAATTAAATTCTGAGTCTGTTTGCTGATGTCTGGTAAGGAGGAAAACAGGTTATGTTTTATAACAGCACAAAAGACAAAAAAAATGAAACATTTGAAAAACAATATAAATGTTTAACAAAAAAAACGGTTTTGTCATTTTATCTTTTTTTTAATAGGATTAACATTTATCTGATAGTGGTCAAAGTAAATAGAGTTTATCTCATTTATAATTAAAAAACATGTTGTTCAATAAAATTGGAACATGCTACAGCAAACTGTATGTTAAAATCACTTTGGAGGATAGGGTAAATTTGTAAAACGTCCATTTCAGGATGGGTTAGTTTTGTTAATGGTTAACTCACCTTAACATCTTGGAGTAACTTGGTCTAACCATCATATTCTTAATCCAAGATCCTTGTGAGTATTTTTGTTTTTAGTTTTTACTACGGCATGAAAAATGCATGGCACAGTGGGCAGTAGTTAGGTTATCTGTAAAATCAGATCTGATTTAATTCTATACAATATGCACAACACATTCCTTGTGCAGTTATAATGTTAATGACTGCAGTGTAATGGAAGCCCAGTCCATCTGTCTCAGACACTTAACTTTATTACCATTATAGCAGTTGAAAGCAGTAGCGCAGAAAAGATCCTAGTACTTCTCATGAAATGTCTGTGTTTAGACATTACTTTTTTTCAAAGGTTTCTTACACTCAGGCTTAAAGAAATGGCTGTAATCAATAACCACTTGAGTGGTTATGGAGACCCATAGATTTGAGTGCTAATTCTACAATAAAAGCTGGAATTGTGATACAATCCATTAGAATAAGCTTTTACTAATACAAAGTGACTTGGAACAGATTCAATTTTAAAAGAGAGTCTTAATATTCTACCCAGCAGGTGGCAGCATTGGCATTTATTGGTCATTAAAATAGTAAAACGGTAGACCGAATATTTTCAGAAGCTTAGCAGCTCTGTATATTAATAAAGATATAGAACTTAAATATTAGAATACACATTTAGGACAAACATTAAAATACAATCAGTGAACATTATGGAAATGTATAGTACAGGGAGTGTATTACCATATTGTTTTTGTTGTGGTTAATTGTTTATTTTTACATTACAATATACAGCCTTATATGTAATTGCATTTGTTGCATTATTCATTCAAATAATATAATTTTAAAAATTTAGGGTAATTTTATATTCTCTGGAATAATCCTCCTTTGTTTAGCCATGCATGGGGGAGCTGGAGCATATCCAGGCAAGTAATGGGCACAAGGCAGGATACACCCTGAATGGGAGGCCAGTCCATCACAGGGAACACACAGACACGCTCTCCCACCACAACTCATTTTCTCAGACGTCAGTTAAATAACCAGTATGTCTTTGGACTAAAGAGGAAACTGTAGCACCTGGAGGAAACATGCATGACAATAGGGAGAACATACAACTTGTTGGTCACAAACAGTGGCCTTGTACCACTGCACACAGATGGCACCCAGGGCCCCAGCGCTGTGAGACAACAGTGCTAAGCACTGTGCCACCACTCTTTTGTTTATTCCAGGTAAAAAATATTGATTTAAATCCTTTCATCAATTTTAGCTATCGCAGTTGTTTATTTGACCTGCAACACACCATAGAGAGTATATGAATAATATGGACAATAGACGTTTTGGTGGGTGATTTTGTGCAGCTGCTTTGCCTCTTAACATTCTTCTGCGTGTTCCTTCAGAATCGAATTTGGATAGATGTGGATTCCGAGGGTCTTTGCATTTGGGAGTTCCATACAACCCATCGAAGGTGAGGAATACCTAGCTTCCTTGTTGGACCGATCTCTTTAGTGCGTTCTTCCCAGCCCTTTGTGGGTTTCCAGAGTCTTGAGGGATCTCTGCTTATGTGAGCTTCCACCTTCATTTAAAGCAAAATAAGAAGGACTCTTCAGTACAGAAAGGATATATACGCCACACATTTATATATTCAAGAGATATGCTGTATACTGTACCTGAGGTCTCAAGCTTAATGCATGGAGGGCCTAATGTTTTCAGCATTTTGCGCCAACCGCACAGAGGAGAGAATCATGGAAAATAAATGTTTAAATGGGCGAAAATGTAATATCATATACTGAAGTCATTTTTTACCCAAGACTCAACAAGTTGTTGTATGAAATGGACATATAACATTAAAGCTTATATGGTGATAAATATGTGTTTTATAATAAAAATTGATTTCTTTAATGTGGGAGTGTTTGCAAAGTTGATGTAACATTTTAATTTTCAAATGCTAACTGTGTTTCAGGGCCCAGGTATATCTCATCCATATGACAGTGGTCATGTTGCAATGACCTACACAGGTCTGGCCTGCTTGATTATCCTGGGAGATGATCTGAGCCGGGTGAATAAAGAGGCCTGTTTAGCGGGTCTGAAGGCGCTCCAGCTGGAGGATGGCAGGTAGGGGAGTTTTTGCCTAAGATAACATACAGCAGGCATGTCTAATCTTGGTCCTAGAGAGCTGGTGTGTCTGTGCTTTTCTATTCCATTTCAGCTTTTGTTCAGCAAAATCAGCTGATTTCCAGCTTGACTGGAATTTACCAGCTGAATTCGGGTCTTGTTGCTTTAAAGACACCACGAATATGGCTACATACCCTTTCTGTTCTGAGTGGTTAAACCTCTCTTCTTTCTCAAAAGTATCAACCTGTTTAAGGCCTTTCTTCTACTGACCTATGTTATCAAAGCATGTTCAAGTACAACAGAACTTCTGACTACTGATTGAGCCTGACATAAGGGGATATGGAAGTATATTTGTGGAAGTAAAATTATTAGTGGTAATGATATTTTAATGTGTCCATCTTATATGTACAGAGATCTGAATTAAGACAAAAAAAGAAATTTAATTGTAGGTGGATATTTTGTAATATACAGACGTAGTCTTTTGTAAAAAAACAGGCTTCACTTCAGCCAGTGGCATGAGAATGAGGAAAGGGTAAGTAAAGGGAAAAAAAGAATTTCACTAAATGAAATGGTATGTTTGAGTTATTTACATATTCTCAGTGCAGGTGGATGGCTTTGTTTTGTGTAGATATAGTTTGTGATAAAACAAGTTTGACTTTAAAAATAAAACTGCATCAGTGTCTGACTGCAACAAATGAGGAAGTTATGCACCATTTTCATTTGTATATTGTTCTCCCCCAGCGCAGTGTTCTGGGGTTATGTTCCTCCAGTTTTGGTGGCAGACTTAATGCTTTGTACATCACAGTTCATACAGTACAGCAGCAGTTTTCATCCAAGCACTTTCCCAAATATGTTTGTATGTGGGGAAGCTGTCACTGAAACAGTGTTAAAATAGGGGTCCCTAATTAGAAAGAGTTTAGAACCCCTGTATTATAGCATTAAAGGTTGCATGCAACTCCTAGCAGGTGCTTGCCTGTCTTTCAGGTGCAGGTGTGTGTTCTGTTTTATACTCCACCCACCTCCATAACTCAAACAATAGAGCTATTTGGACCAACATATGTTGCTTTCTAAGAGAGAGAGAGATCACTTTATTGGCCATATACAATTTCATTTAGTAGGAATTTCATATACCACAACTTTCTCTCCATAAGACACACAGACAGGGAGAGAAGCTTGGGGTCAGAGCGTAGGGTCAGACATTTTGTACGGCACCCCTGGAGCAGTTGGGGTTAAGGGCCTTGCTCAGGGGCCTAAAGGAGTAGGATTCCTCTGCCGGCCGTGGGATATGAACCGGCAACCTTCCAGAGCACTTCTTTCAGGATCTTTTCATGTACAGCTGCAGCATCTTAGATGGTTATCTTTGAGGACTGCCCTGACGATCACCCAAGCATTGTTGGGCAGTGTGCTTCTGAACTACTAAAAGTGCTGCCAGCATACCGTAAGATTAGTTGTGTGAATGGAATATTTATTCCTCGTTTTGACTCTATATGAACCATGATTGCATTATTGAAGTCTTTTTCATTTTGTTGTTTAATTTCCAAATTCTAGACGCCACCACCTGCATACTTAGCGCAAAGGTTTTATGTTGGTTTTCTTTGTCCATTAGTTTCTATGCTGTTCCAGAAGGGAGTGAAAATGACATGAGGTTTGTGTACTGTGCTGCATGTATCTGCTACATGCTAAATGACTGGTCTGGTATGGACGTCAAGAAAGTCATCGACTACATCAGAAGAAGTATGGTAAGTTAGCCTGACTGTACTACAACTTTTGTGGCCAATGTCAAGAATTCTTTATATTGGCATTCTTTTCAGTTTTCCAAAGGTGCCTATCTATAAAATAGACCACTTTTTTTAAAAAAAGCATGTACATAATTACTACTTCAGGTTTGGACTTGGAAAAACAGAAGCTTGTTGATTAATATGTGTTCAATATCTGTACAATCAATCCATCTGTAGGTTTATTATAATAAATATTTCAATATATGAAACAGAAGATCTGAGCTGTAATGAGGTGCTGGAGGTGTAGCCTTAGCAGTTGTGGGGGAAAAAAAAACTTTTTTGCCCAGAGAAAGTCTGTAACAGGCAGGCAGGAGGCAGCCCAATTGCATTCTTAGAGCTTGCACCTAAGGATTTCTTTGAGCCTTTCCAGTCAGGGCTTATATTAAGGAACAGTACTGAAACATCCCTTGTTAAAGTGATTAATCATTTGTTGTTGGTTTCTAGGTCTAGGACACTTAATATTCTCATAATTATCTATGTGCAACAGTATGATGCTGTCTAGCTATCACTGGTCCTTCCCCCTGTTGGTTTGACTCCTGTGTGGCCAATTGATACATTTACTCAGTGTGTTCCACGGCATTCTGTTATATAACATTTACAATTTAATATTCACTCTTGATCAGACCATTTGCTAATGACACTCAAATCTATTAGCAGGGCAAATCACTGCAGTTTCTGAATGTAACGAAAGCTTGTATGATAGTAAGACATGCCTCTGCATTACAGTCATATGTGCTAATAAACAAATGTGAGAACTGAAGTGATTTCTGAGAATTGTGTCCTGATGAAAACTAGCTCCTCAGAAACAAAGTGATTTTGGAGCATCCACTCCGGATGCAAATTATCAGAATAATAAATGCATTACTCAGGCAATAGAGAAACTTAATGTGGGTGATTTCCATGACTCCCTGTATTCATGGGATTGTTGTGCTTCAACTAGTGGCGGACACAATACAAGTGCAGGAGGTTTTCCAGTCTCTTTATCTACGTAGTGATTGCCCTGCAGAGGAAACGGTGCTAGAGGCGCCTATATCTTTATTTGAGCTGAAGCACATAACATAGGGAAACTCTTTTGGCATTTAAGACATTGTCCATCTGTTTGCTTTCTGATTTTTCACGCATTCTTTCCCATGAGAGTGTGGTTGGCCTCATTTCAGAGAATTTTTAAACATTGATTACAGTGCTGAGAAAGTTTTTACACCCCCAATAAAAGTATTGGAATGGCAATGTTTTTTACTATTATACCTTTGTTTTGATCTTTTCTTAAATAATCCAAAATGACTATTTTTGCCAGTTCAAAGTTTTTTGCAAACACAATGTGGTGTATGACAATGAAAAAAATAATTTAGAATCAGTGAATGTGAATTAATAACTTGGGATTCACTTTACTTTGCACAAATAAGATGACAATATAATGGATAGAACTTTGAATATGGTCTTTACTATACAGGTGTGTAGAAACATCGAATGCTACATCATGTCATAATCAAAAGAGATTTCAGCAGACCTCAGAAAAGGAGTAATCGATGCTCATTGATGTCTAGAAAGGATGGCAAAACCATTTCTAAGCATTTGGGGCTCCAACCACTGACTGTCAGATAGCTTTTCTTGAAATGTAGAATATGCCAAACTTTGTCCTGGCAAGATCTCCCCAAGAAAAACCATCATAATATCTAAGGATCTGTATCAGATTGTTGCTGTGGCTAGTGTCAATGATCGTGCCTGGTCATCAGGAAAAGACTGAACAAGAATAGTTTTCAGTTTGTCAAAGAACATCTAGGTTGCCCACAAACTACTTGAATGATATTCTCTGGGAGTACAAGTAAAAAAATTAAACTTTTTGGCCACAAAAAAAAACCACACACACACAGAACAAACTCATCCTGACCTTCAGCATGGTGGTGGTATCGTGGTTTGGGGTTACTTTGCTGCCTCAGGATCTGGACAGTTTGCAATCAATGATGGAACCATAAATATGGCCATCCATTTGCCAAAGGTGGGTCAGTGATCTACAGCAGAATGGAAGAAGAGGAAGTTTAACATTTTGGATTGGTAATGTTAAAGTCTGGACGTAACATAAACTCTGAACTACTAAACAAATGTCACTAACTTGAAGCAATTCTGTAAGGAAGAATAAGTGCCAAAAATTCATAAAAAATCATTTTTGTTAGATCATTTTATTAAATAATCCAAATATGTCTTGTGTCTCTGAGCTGTTTGTTTATTCAGGTTTTCACAAACATTTCCTCAGCACTGTAAATGCATTTTAAAATTTCACTTTGTTACTGAATGGTCCCTACTGAATTATATCTGACTTTTTGGCACCTAAAAAGGTCTTATTTTGCTGCATATGATGCAGCCATTGAGAAATGATCTGTTGGATGGGTAACAGCTATGATAAAGAGTTTAAGATCTTAAACTCTGTGTGAGCTTACAACCTTCTCCACTGACTTGATGAAGTGTCAACCTTAATGCTAAGCTGCTATCATGTCAGCTGAGTATCTGGAAAACTAGTTCCACGTGGTAACAGTTGTACTGGAGCGTGTCCTAAACTATGGCTTCCGATAAGGTTTTTCTCCTCCATATTATACCCTAGATACAATTACAGAAATAGTCTTCCCTTGTGCCATTCTTTAATTAGGTGCAGAGACAGCATTACACTCTGCAGTGGAAAAAGCAGGTCATTAGTCAAACATACCTTGACTAGTTCAATACATACCTTGGTATTGAACTAAGTTTCATGTCATCCCAGTAAACAATTGTTTTAGCAGTTCCCACATCTCCGCCATCTCTGCTCCCCTTGTTCCCCCCTGCCAAGCTATTGGAATAGAATAAATGATAGAATTATAAAATTATTTTGAAAGTGAAGGGAGTCTGTATCAAATTCACTTGATGTGAATCACTCAGTTTTTTTAGCCCTGATTTTCCTGTAATTTGGTGTACACTTAAAGAATGTCTTGCCATATATATCTTAAGATCTCAAGATCTTAAATATACTATACTGCGGTACTTGTTGTAGCTTTTCTATCTCAATTCATCAGGAATGGGTGTTCTATAGAACGGCTTATGAAACTCCAGAAAACACGGTGGGTTCCAGAGCTTGCAGTCGCAATACAAATTTCTTTCTGTACTTCCGCCTCCCTTCTGCAGTGCCTGCCCACTGTGTCCCTGGGGAGGCAAGGTTGCCAGTGCTCCCAGTGCATAATCTCCTTAAACAAAGGCATTTGCTTCTTCTTTTCATATGTTCTTATTACAGGGTTCATCTGAGCTGTTACCAGCAGTTATTTTCTGAAATAAATACTGCGGTGTCATAGGTGAGACCGTTTACTGAATAATTAATGCCAAATATATTCGGCCACCTCCCCTTATGATTTTTATTTTGAAAGGGATCACTGCACATCATTGAATTTTCTTTTATAGATACAAGTAGAATCTTGGACTCTCACAGATCTTTAAAATGCATTTTCAGATTTTGATTTTCAACCCTCTTTCCTGAAACCACCACTGGCAGACCATATTGTTCCACATACGTGTTTCTTCAGGGAGTTTATAGTGTATGCATGATGCTGAGTAAGAATCACTCCTCCTCAGTTTGCATCAGTACATTTTGAGTTTCACCAAAAGGCAAGTTTAAATGCTGTGGTAACTACTCTGGTACATGTTTGGCACATTGGTTGTGTAGTTTTATGGATAGTATGTGTTTTGACTTTTTTACAATGGGCAGACAGTCCAAACCCATGGAAGATACTTTGTTTTGATTTCTCCATGTAGTGGCCATGTGGCTTTTTAAGGAGATGACTTGTATAAATAGCACAGATGCTTTAAAAAGAGAACTGCCAAATTGTTCACTTGATTCACGGTCTTTTTTTCTAAACCTCCTGGTTTGTAACTTTGTATTTTTAGCAGCTTGTGACAGGCCTTCCTCTGTAAGCCTGGATGACTGACTGCTTCAGCCTTGGCCGGCCACTTGGCATTTCAAATGGTATCCAGCGGTGATTAATCCATTAATTGACACACTGGGGAAAAACGAGCAACCGACAGCTCGAGGTGCAAATGTTGGTACACAAATCAGAAACAAAAACAGGTTGTTAGAATAAAAGATTAGCAAAAGACCAGTGGATATGTAGCATTTTTCACTTAAGTAACATAGAAGTGCTGGATCTGCTATATTATAGCATTCCCTTTCAATTTACATACAACTAATTGGAACACAAAAGTTTTAAACCCTTAATGTATTGCAGGATTAGGTTTATGTAAATAATTTGGTCATTAGAGAAATGTTGTCTTTGTTTATTTGTCTCTGTGCTTTTTGGCTTCCAAGTCTTCTGGGAGTTTTTAAGTTTGTTCTTTGGTAACAGCCTCTTAATAAGGTAATATTGTTCTAGCTCTGGAATGTCTATTAATAGACTATAGAAACATATTACTGCAGACTGGTGGGACCCATATGGTGACAGTTCCCTTACTAATTCATTTTTGGTCTCATCTTGACCCCATGCTTGATTGTTGGCAGATTCCTTTTTTCCATTCTTTTTTCCAAACCTTAATTTTAAATACCCCTATATGGTCATTAAACCTATTGTTTTGTAAAAAGCAAAGCATTTTATTATGTATGTGTACAAAATTGATCAAAGTTAAAGATGATTATTTTGTGTTTTTAACAATGTTGCATTAATTTGAATATTTTTCTTTGCTTAAACTAAGTTACTTAATGCTTTGCTATTATTTAAACACTTTAGACATTTTGAATGGACTGTGCTGGTACAACAGCACTCCCACATTTTTTCTTCATTAGTGCAATCACAAAAGCTCACGAATAAAACGGTATGCTAATCAAGTCTCTACTTAAAATAGTCGTCGCTCATAGTGCTGCTATTACGAGAGGTTATTAAAAGTGTTGCTTTGTAGAAAATGGCATTTTGACAAGATCTCCCATCGGGACTATACACAAGTTACAAGGTTAACAGCTGTTGTTGCTGAGCAGTTCTAGACAAATATTACTGCGTTGTTACAAAACAAATATTCTTTTTTTTTGTATGACCTTTTGTGATTCTGCAATGGAAACATTGATGCAGTTTTTAAAAAATCACATAGCTATTTAACCCAGAAGCGCACACTTTTTAACTTTAACTTTTCAACATGTGTTTTTACAGTATGTCATGTTGAGTGGTAGCAGTCCAATATTGCCATAGTGAAATGATTTGCTTCTGTACATTGTGCATTGCGTTACATTTAAATATTGGTTATTTTAGCAAAGGCTACAGTATTAAAATGTATTGGGGTTTTTTTCTACTACCTCAAACAATCTAAAAGATTAAGGAAAGTCTAAAACATTCTAGTCAAAATCCTATACCATTTTCTCATAGCAAATGGGTAACATATATTAAGTCTAAAGCATGCGAGTAAATTCAGATTTTGCAATGACAGGGTGGGCATTGGCGCTGTAATATCAAATTTTTTCCCTTCTTTTTCCTTTTTGTTTGCATGCTTACAGCCCTGTGAGGTGTGGCAATTTTCCTACAAACACCCTCTCTTAACTTTGCACATAATTTACAAATTATTCTGTGGTATTGAGTAAAGGGGATGTTTCCCAGAGGCAAAACTGTATATGTTAACTTATTTTTAATTGTATATTGTTGAAATATAGTGGTTTTCATGTTTTCTTGAAAACATGGATTAAATAGAGTAAAAGAGGATGTAATTGTGTCAGCATAAAGCGTAGGAGAGAGCATCGACGTGCGACCACTGTTCCTCTTTGCCCGTGCAGTTCTTCCATGTTTGGCATATGCTGTCATTTGTTTTGAGACTGTTCCCCTCGACGCATAAATTTTGCAGTTTTTGTGACTGATGCACCTGCAATTCGGGCACCGAGTATTTGGCCTCTTTGGAACTCTTGCTAGTTGCCTCATGTTGCTTTGAAAACTTGCATATCAAAGTTCTAATTGTCAGACCTCTTTTATAGCTGACACCTACTGCTAATTGGCAACCAACCTAATATGACTTGCCATTACAGCTGCAATTGTATTTGTGATTTAATTACTTCAAAGTTAAACTCCTTTTTCTTGTGGCGTTTCTGCTAATTTGTCCACCCCCTGTATGTCTCAGTAGGTTGAAATGTTGACAGACATACAGCAGGCAGCGTTGCAGAAATATATTTAAAAATAATACTAATAGAGGCCTTGTAGAGCTCACAACATTCTAATATTCCATGTTTTCTTTTATTGATATGTAGTCATACGACAATGGTGTGGCCCAGGGAGCAGGACAGGAGTCACATGGTAAGTATCAGATTCGACTGTATTTCACTGTTACTTGCATCGGTCAGACCAGAAAAATATGCATCATGTGGAATCTTACGATACTCTGTTACAAAGAGTACATTAAAGTAACGATTAATCTTCTTTGGAGTGTTTAAAGTAAGTTTACGAAAAGTGTATTTCAGCAAGACAGGAAGTCCAGACTGACTAACTATATTATGCTCTGAATGCCACAGTCCCATTTATTTATTTAGCTGGTTTTAACAGATGAATCATTTATTCTTGCCAGTAATTTGTTGTTCTTTTCTTTGACTCTTTTGTTGGTCAGGTTTTCAGACAGATTGGATTATACCTGACAGATGCATGTGATGGATTAAAAGCATGTCTGTCTGGACATGTGCCATATGCTGTGCTTTGTTCCTTGATTAGTTTTATGTTTACTTAGGTGGTAAATGAGACTTTTAAGAGATATATGAGTGGACATTTTGAAAAAAATATATTAATTAAACTTTAATGTCAATGTGGGAAATAACTTTGTTAATACACATATGGTAAGATATTAATGCAATATGATAGTCTTGACTTTAAGCATAGAAGCCCTTTTAGAAACAAAAAGAAATACAATGTGTAGAATTTGTCATTTCCATTTTGTTTTGGATTACCTAATAAATACTCTCAGGTAGGGTCTCAGATAGGGTATTCAGCAATTTGTAAATGTAAAGGCTCCCACACCAAATATTTTCACCTTCCCAATTTGGGTTGCTAATTGTTCATCATCTGATCTTATGACTACAGCCTCAACCCCTGCATGGGGTGAATTGGTACTTTCCAGGCTCTCCCCTGACATCCCCTGTCAAAGCAGTGCTCATTCGACAAACTGCAAACTGCACATCTTACAAGAGGAGTGCATCAATTTGATTAAGTAGTATGTTCAACTTCACCCAAAAGTGCCCCAAAGTCCACCTCTCTGTTCTTACTGGTGCTCAGGGAGGCATATTCAGCTAACATCATTACTGAGCAGTGAGCTGGCTGTTTCTTGACATTAGGGTGTAGCCTGTACTCCTGTCATTTCTGATAGAGCCACCAGGGAACTCCCACATCCCTGTTTTTTACAAATACTATACATCTTATTTGCTCACACTGAGTGTAGGTTGAACTTTATGATCCCGAGTTTGCATTGGTGAGCCATAAGCTATGTCGCAAGCCCTCTGTAACTGGAATTCCCCGAGCTTAGACACACAGTTGTTTTAGCATTGCTGCGGTAGGGCTGGGATCTCGTAACTCGCAGACATGTGATTGTCAGTCAGGGATACACCTCTCCTCCTATCATCTGAACATCCCTGCAGAGTGGGTCAAAAGATGAGTGACCAGACCAGAGGAACCGGTTTCCCTTTCTGATTCTACTCATGTTGCTATGAGCCTAGCTGTAAAGAACAAAATGGTGATTCCGAATTGGATGGGTAATTAAAAGATGCAGCATCATGTTCAGCTTCATGCCAGCACCACTTCTGAAGATGTAATAATTGAAGGCTGTTGTTCAGACTAACATGAGTGTTACTGATTTGTTCAGGTGGATCTACATTCTGTGCCATTGCCACTCTTTGTCTCATGGGTAAACTGCAGGAGATCTTCACAGAAAAGGAGCTAAACCGAATAAGGAGATGGTGTATTATGAGACAGCAAAATGGTTTTCATGGACGACCTAACAAACCTGTAGATACATGTTATTCCTTCTGGGTTGGAGCCACACTTGAGGTAAAACAATGATTAAATGAATCACTTATTGTTCACTCTGAGTAAAATCATTTAGGTCAATATTTTCATACATAGTTAACATCATATTCCTTTTATACATTGATACTGAGACACTAATGTCCACAAACTGAAATGTCTACACCAGTGTCTATATATTGGACATTGAAACATTTTGTCTTACCAATATTGTTATATTTGCTTTTATTTTATCTATGTATGGGAGACCGAACAATTTTGTCTTACCAATATTGATTATTTGCTTTTTTAGCTATGTAAACAGGCTATTCAGAAAATCTTAAGAGTATAAAAATACTGACTTGTTTTTACCATGGATTGTCTCAAGTATATGAGAAACATAAATACACATCCATTCAAGAGCTAGCCTTGAGCCATTTTTTTCATACCACACTAGTTCTTAACATCACAGTACTGAAACATTTGGTAGAACGTAAAGTAGAAAAAAAATAGTCATAAACATGAAAATAAATACTCTGAAAATTGCACCCTGATAAAGGCCATACTCCTGGTTTTATTTTACATCTAAGTGCTGTTTGACAGTCTACTTTTCTGATGTCACAGTGGTTCCAAAATGTTTCTGCTAGTTTCACACTTCTATAGTCATAAAGTCTGCAGTTTCCTGGACTTTAATTTGCTAACAAAGAACATTTTCTCAAAACAACATTCTTGGCTGTTTTGTTACAACTGTTGAGCCATCATCATATGAACCTTTATAAACCCTTTCTGTCCTTTTCAAAGTCAGAAATGATATTTCTATGGTTTTTGATTGTGGCGTTCCATTTGTTTTAATATTATTGAACCTTACATTCTAGCTTTGATGCTGTTGGTAATCATATTCTTTCTAGTGAGTCATTCTGACAGAAAATGTATTTGGAATTTCTTGATTTTTCTTAAAAGAAGGAAAACTGTTTTTTTTTCTGAATGAGGCTAGTTTTTTTCTTTTCTTTTCTTCATCATAATTATTATAATGCCTTGTCTCCAGGAGTTTCTCAGTCTACACTGAATAAATCACAGCATGTTAAAAACTCAGCACCGAGAACTTTAGGTAAAGTCCCAGTATGATGCTCATATTATTTATGTTCTGCAATCTCTGCAGTGATCTCCAGTTGATTTTAAAATCATGTCGATATCTTTCAAGATCTTGAAAGTTTTGTCTTCAAAGATGTATTATATCTCCAGCTATCAATCTTAGCTGCAGCAATCTTTGATTCATTAAGATCTCTTGTGTAAGAGGACTGTCTGTGTACCAAGATTAAAATACACTTAGGAACACATTAGGAAATTTAAGATTATAAAGGATAATGTATAGAAACTCGGATGCTGTATCAAAAAATGCCCTTGCTTTTGTCCTGGAACTTTCCTAAAAGTGACAAACAATAAGTTGTTTGTCCCAGCACTGCTTGCAGCTATATTTCTTATTGAAGCCTCAAAACACAAAAGTACACTGAAAAGCTCATGATAACTCACTCTCAGGTTGATTTACAGTAGAAAAACATGTAGACCTAAAATATTTCATATCACTTGAAGAGTGATATGGAATAAACAGATATTCCCAAAACTTTTAAATGTAACTACGATAATAGCTGTAGTGGTATCTCTTGCCTTCCTCTTGTAAACTATACTTGTCTTTTGTTTCACTTTGTGATGGTCTACAGAGTACCTCAGTGAAATGCATAGAAATATGATCACAGGGTAAAACAAAGTAAGAGATAGATAATCCAGGCTATCATTCCTTCCTGTGATGCTGTGTATAGTGATTGATACATTTGGTAAAACCCCGCCTTTTCTTTCAGCTTCTTGATGTTTTCCAGTACACTAACTTTGAAAAGAACCGCAGCTATATATTGTCAACTCAGGACCGTCTAGTGGGTGGATTTGCCAAATGGCCTGATAGTCACCCAGGTAAGATTGCATGGGGTGCCTAACAGGGTGTTATGTAAAGAATTGTTTTATTTGTTTTTGTGTCTGTCAGCTGAAGACCTTAAGCTATTCAGCCTTTAAAGGTGCTGGATCTTTTATTCACAAGCCCATTGTTTAGCATTGATTAAGGACATCTGAGAGGACAAGGTTCATGTTATGTGATCTGATAGACTGAGTCCAAGACCTTGGAAGTGTAAAAAAGAGAAATAGATTGTGAGAAATAATTAATACCATATAGTACTAAAAGCCACTTTAGAACCCCAGTTATTTTGTCTGAATTTCTCCCATTTGTATTTTAAATGCTTAAATCACAAACATTCTATTCAGTAATTACGAACCTTAGATGGAACACTGTATTTTCAAGGCATTGCTTATCTGGAGTACTTAATTTATTACAGGAACTAACACTAACTCACTAAGAGAGTTGATGTCAGAATTCCTTAGTGCTGTTAAAATAGTTTCTTGAGCATCAAAAGACACCTCACACTACCTATTCATCTATACTTAAAAAATAGATGATATTTGGATATTCATCAATACAAAGTCTTTTTGGATTTTGGATTTCTCATTTTTAGCATTGTTTTGATTAATTGATGTTTTAAGACTGACAGTGATGGAAATAAACACTATATTAATAAACACTAAATTAATTAGAAGTGTTGATTGGGCACAGGTAATAAAGAAGATTTAAGTTGAAAATTGCAAAGGAATAATGCAAAGAACCTTGTATGCCCAGTTTATCAAGAGAATGATCTCATGCCTTTGGTATGTTGGAGTCTAGAGTCAGTACACTTTGTTCACAACCAGCAATTTATAACCCTGCGAGACATTATAGTTAAATGTAGTCAGTCATTTCTAAACCATAAAACATTGATAGAATCTGGGTGACCTGGAGTTTGGGACCTCACTTCCTTTACCCCTTCCTCAGACCATGTGCTGATATGACATAACATTCCAGCAGGACAAAATATCCACATACTGCTCATGTAACAATGGCTGTCTTGCAATATAAGAACCTGACAGTTAAGTCATATATGTCCTACTCGCCAGACTTGGTATCTTTTGATCATTTGTCAGATGAGTTGGGATGATCTGTGGAATCTAGAGTTCGCAGACTGAGTTCTCCAAGATAAATTGGACAAAATCCCAAGCGACAGCACCTGCAACCTGATTCACATTGCAGATATACCATACATCTTGGATAGCTTTCAATGGTGGCTACACCATGCCTGTTACCTGTAACTTTCCCAGTAGACCCCCTGCTAATAAAAATAATGAGTTTACCTATGTCATGTCTGTTCAAGAAAATGTGAGTTCACCAGCTCCATAAAAGACTTTTGTAATTTTCAAGAGAAAAATGTAATTTCTTTGCTGTTGCAAGTAATGTTTCTTTGGTTGCTCAGCATATTTTCACTTGAATTACATATTGCACATCTCAAATCCCCAGTGAATTTCTAGTTTTGAATGTGTTTGTCATACATTATTAATTTAATCATAATTTAAACATCAAACTGCTTATTGTGGAACTTACTGATTTAACACTTAGTCAGCACTGGCAGATAACACAGCTATTTGTTAATTGAAACATGACAATAATTGAGAGCTGCATCAATCAAGATGCAGCCCGACATATTTTCTAAAAACTCTTCTTCAGAACCATTAAACCGATTTGAAAGTTGGCAAGTTTTTTCAGCCTTTCTTAGCTACAGGCATTTTGATGCTGTGATGTTGAAATACTCTGAAGTCCTGCATTTTACAATAGCGCTTAAACTTTTGGTCTAAAGCAGCTTTTCAAAAGCAAAATATCTTATGATGGTTATTTGATTGTATTTAGAATCTAGCAGTGTTTGAGATTTTCAGGTCAAAAGTTTATAACACTATAAAAGCAACACTTGTTTCTTATTAGTGTGAAGGGAGCAACAAGAGACTGTAAAAAAAGAAATGCTAAGAAGAAAAGTCACAATGAATTCTCATTTGGTTGCTCATGTTAAATTGGCTTTTTCAGCTGAAGCTGATTTATTTAAATTGAACATATGCTTATAGTACTGGGCAAGAATTCATCTTTTACGGTTTTTGTGTAGATGGCCAAAGTTGCTTTTTTAATCTGACACTCTTCAATGTACAATTGGGATTCAGATTCCAGTGTAAACTATCCTTTTTAAATCACAATGTGTATCCTGTAGCTGACCTAGTTTTTCAGGTCTGCTGAGTTCTGTCAGCTGAAGTTTGACCAGTGCTTGCTAGTGTGAACTTTTTTTCTTTTTCAGATGCACTGCACGCTTACTTTGGGATCTGTGGTCTGTCATTGATTGGGGAATCTAACCTTCGCAAAGTCCACCCTGCACTGAATGTGAGCATAAGAGCTTTTGAACACCTGAAGCACCTGCATCAGACGTGGAAAGAAAAGAGCAACAGACCCCATACAGAGTCTGAGTCCATCTGTACATGAGACCTTTGCACTCCAATAGGAAATATCGAGCAACTATTTTAAAAAGCCATGTGCAATTAAGGGTGCAGTAAAGCAGTGCTGGATTTGTATGTACCAAATCAATTATTGTCAACATTCTTAGCAATATCCCAAGACTTAGTGGGTAGCATGTTGAACACTTACTTGTGATTGAACTTAATGGAGTGATAAATAAATAATAGAGCCTGAGATTTTTAATTATTGAAAGCAGACTGAAGGAATGGGCTTTCCATGGCCTGCCAGATGAACAGCTAGTGTTAGGTTAGCAACAAGGAGGCTTGAATTCTTTTGTTCTTTCAGAAGTCAGAGTCCATTAATGAAAGCTAATCAGTCTTTGGTACCTTGTGTCTCCTATATGTCCTGTTAAATGTTCGGACAGTTTTATTTAAGTCAATTTTAAGACTTTTGACTTTCATAAACATTTTTTTCTTTATTTCAAATGCTCAGAAAAACTTTGCTTTACCAATTTAAGTTTCTACAATGAGGGAAAAGGGGAGAAATCCTAGACAAGACATAATCCTAAAATATTCACTCTTAAATTTCTGGAAGGAATTAGGGGAATACCAAAAAGCTTTTAATGTGACAGTTTTTTTTATTAAAAGCCCAGCTTTAAAAGACAATATGACAGCTTATGTTATACAAAGATTCATGTATTGCACTGCGTGCAGAAATGAAAGGCATGCTACCCACAGAAAATCACAAGGGTTAGTTTAGTTGCTCTTAGGTTTCTTTGCTACTAAGACACGTGAATGTTTGCTCTAAGTAGTGGTATACATAACAAGCACTGTTTGAACAACACGTATTCAATGTTGAGCCTTCAATGTAAAGTTCTTTATACTAATTTTTCTAAATGAGTTTTCAAAATATTCTGTTTATAGAATAAAACTCTACATGTATACAAATATTTTATTGTTCTTCATTAAAACTCTTCAGTATCCAGTGACCCTAGAACAGGATTGGTTTAAAAGCATCTTAATTCACATCATTATTCAGATTAATATTTCATATAAGCAGCTTTTCACTTTAGATTTTACATTACATTTTTCATTGCTTTTCATTTTTTGTTATAAATGTGGAGGTCTCTGTAAACCAAACATTTTAAATTAATTACTTTAAAAGCTTGAAGGTGGGTATCTCTTTAATTTGATATGATGCCTTTAACTAACCTCTTTTAATATTTTTCTATATTGTTTCAATCTATGAAATACTGAAGTGATCTCATATCATTTTCTTCACATCTGCTATTCCTTTGTACTCTTCCTCATACACTTATTAATATGGAAGGGGCATAATTATTCAATCTATTTTCAGTCACATTTTCTGAACTGACTGGTTTGCAGGAATCTTAATTAACCGGGGTTGTGTTACTAGCTTTTACCACATGTAAAACACATTTCTGATGAAAGGGTCATACACCTTGGATAATTAACATGGTTAAATGTAAAGCTACTTTACACTTTTGTGATTTAAATTTATTATTTTAATTTCTGTGCCTTTAAAAAGTATTTGGAAAAGGAGTGAGCCTAGTTTCATTTCAAAAGTTGGAGACAAGGGACAAGATTCTGTAATTTATTCAGTGTTAAAATGAATGAGTTGCAATATGAAAATTGTTTGGGACTCTTCTTTACTTATCTCTTCACATATAATTGATTGTATTTCTGAATTTAGTTTTAAACTGCTTTCATCTAAATTTTGACATACAAAGGTATTTTATTAAACCTTAATTTACCATTTAACATTGTTGCTTTTTTTCATCCCCTAGGTCATAAAAGCTGAATTCCATTGGTAGTTTTTGAAAATCTTATTTATTTGATGGTTAGTTTTAGATGAGATTGGAATATCCGCATTTTAAGCTTTAGTTGATGCTAAAAATGAAAGGGTCATTCTCACTGGAGACTTTTATTATTTTTGTGTAAGATCTTATATGGTGGTCTCAATAAACAAAGCCTCACTTTACACAATGTCATTAAAATATGAAAGGTAAGAGTATTTCCATTTCAATATTCTGAGCTAATCAAAGATACACTTTCTCCCCCTGTTCAGTTACCTGTCTAAATCTCATGTTTTGTGCCTCATTCCTTTTGGCTTGGTCTCCTATGTACTGTAATTGCCAATCACTCTCAATTATTCGTTGTGAGGACTTAAATTACTATGGAAACGCTTTATTTAACAAGGTAATGTGTGCAGCAAAGTGGTGCTTTCCAGGAATAAAAATAATCCACAGATTTGTCCAAGATGTGTTATATTAAGCATTAACATTTTATGTTCAGCATGCGTAGGCTGCAAAGGAACAAGTAATAGGTTTATTCCATGCTGAAAAAAAGAAGAAACACAACGTTTCGGCCATGGAGCCTTCTTCAGGTGTGAACATTTTATGTTGTTGAGTTTCCCCAGGCACCAAAACCAGAATTCCCCTTCAAAGCCGCAGGTGTTAGAACAGTAGTAAGATTATGAGTGAGAGGACCTTGTTTGGTTGCTAGTATTTGGTTGTTGAGGATCTCATCCAGACTGTTATTGAAGGGAGAAGGTATATGTTCCCATTCAATAAAATGTCTGGAAAGCATGTTCCAGATTCAAAAAATGTGCTTCCTATTCTCAGTTTTTAATTGTTTTGCCATTCTAAGGATGGTCATTGGATTGTCTTCTCTGACCAAAACCAAGACCAAAATTAAACCTGTTCTTATAGTCCGGCATAGATGAACATTTCTTTGAGGACCAGGTTGTATCTGGTCACACTTCTCTGGAGACTCCATTGCAGCAATATCTTTTTTGTTACGTGGTGATGCCACTTTCTAAACAAGGTCAAAATATAAATTCTCAAACAAGAATGGTAACAGAGTGAAAGAAAAAATTAACTATGAAAAATAAACTAGATGAGATCATTTTTATAATAGTGTAATTCAGAAGTGTTTTATGCTTAGGAAGCTGTCTCCTGTCTTGCTGCTTAAAGTAGTTTTACAATAAGGATATCTAGTGTACACGGAGATGGTCCGTTTCCACCTTTTTGTCTCAAGCTTTAGCTCCTTCTTTCAAGTAAATTTGTCTTATTTTAAAATTTAACTTCATTTATCTGCAAAGAACTGCAGAGTTACATGTGTTATTAGAGAGGTTTTAGCAACTACTAGCTACCTTTTAATACTTTTATGAAAGTGCTTCTTCGCATTTTTTCCTTATGCCAAGCAATGACACTGTTAAAATAACAAAATTGTATTGTAGTACTGTTGTATTTTGTGTCCACAGTTTCTTTTTCTTGAAAAATTGATTCACAAATCATTTTCATATTTAGAAAACATATTTAAAGCATTCCTTATGTTGCATCATCTGAGCCCCTTCTAGAGAACAGGACACTTGGACAGATTGTAAAATGTTGAATATAGACAGTTACTGATTCTAAAGTCAAATTATATTTGCATAGTCATATGTCAAATACTGTATATTCTAACGGTCTGGAAAGGTACACAGTACATATAAAATGATTTAAATAATGTATGCAAACTGAAACAGAAGATTTGAAATTTGAAACACATTCTGAATTCTGAAAGACACTGACAAACATCACCTGCAATTTGTGTTTAAAATGAAGTAAAAGTGAGATGAGTTCTACATGAGCAGTTTCACCGATTTGGCTAGTTTCTTCAAGGAGTTCTTGAATCACTAACCTACTTGCTATCAAATGAGAAAGATCAAGTGACATCTTGCCTTCTGTAACCAATCTTACATTCTCAATTTGTCTGCATTTCCAGAAGACATGAAATACTCCAGTTTTAACACCGTAAGATAGTTTTTCTTTACCATTTCACTAAATACTGGCAATTACACTGCTGCAATTCTAAAAATCAAATGTTGCTTTGCTGAAAATAAACAGAATGTACTTACAAGTACCTACTTATAAACCTGTAAAGTGAATGAAAGTAGTTCTACTCCACTTAAGACTGAATTAAAACTTTTATTGCCAGGGAGTATTACATGTGCTCTATGATGAAGAATTCTTACAATTATTCTAAAATAAAAAGGAACAGTTATTTGTATTGTCTATTGTCTAAGTGTGACTGTCCTGTTGTCTTTGTTCACTATTCAATGGCATAATTCCTATTTAAGTACACAATAGCTCACCTATTCCCTGACAATTGGGGTGCAATTGTTGGTGTTGGTTATCTCGCAAGCCCTAGGATCTGGGTTTCAGGCTTCCAGCTTTGAGCACCTGTGTGAAGTTTGCATGTTGTCAGGTGTTCCACTTCCCTCTATCTCCCTGAAATGTGCTGGCTGGGTGTGATTGATTATTCTAAATATCTCTCCTTTCCCACAGGGGAGGGGGTGGTGGTCCCAGATATGACCAGTACTGGGATCTGTGGCTTAAACGGCCGAATGTCCCACACTTATACGATCCTGTTATTGTGAAAATAAAACGGATCTGCAGTATAGTAACAGGCCTGCTTAATGACTGCTAAATCCCGCCCCTGCCCTGTGTCCAACCATTTATAGGAGTGGTTTTAATGCCTTTCTCCCCTTCGCTCGGAATCTGGCGTCTTATATACACATTTGAATATTGAAATGAAAGAAAGCTGTATTAAATGAGGTCAGTTTAACCTTTGTCGACCAGATGCACATGAATGCAGCTACTTAATCAGCCCGCGTCACAATGCCAATTGTAAAATCCTACAGTCGATGACCAACACGGTACTGCATATGGCAAATATGCTTAGCTATTTTCCACAGAGCGCAGAGAATAAAATTCACCACCTGTCCGTCTTTTCGGGCTTTGCCGTTTTTTCAAATACGTTGTGTTTTACATCGTGATTGCTGCGAGTTTGGTTATGCAGCAACGTATACTGTAGATTAATTTAGATTTCTAATTATCTAAATTAGATAACGTATGAGTTGTTTCGTAGATTAGTAAAATCAAAAGAGGTGAAATGTTTTTAAATCTATTTGAAACGCGTTTATATTATTGGAAATATTCGCTTTAAGCTTCTTACGACCTTCTTAAGAATGAAAAAAGCAGCTTATAGCTGACGACGGCGGGCAACATCAGGTCAGCAATACGCCTTGAGGAGCATCGGTACAATGTTGCTTAGAAGTCAGTGGTGATTTACAATGAACCAAGTTTTTTGTTCCATGTAGTATTTCTAATAAAAGTCAAATGACGATTTTAATTAATTTCATTACTGGATTACATAATACTAATTCCAACCATATAATATAGTGCTTATGAGTTATCCCTTCCCTTTTTATTTTTGTTTAATTTAAAAGAATTAAGACCATACAGAACGCTGGAACATAACTGCAGCATAAATAGTAATAAACTTTTTATTACAGTACAATTACTGCAAGAAAGTTTCTCCATTCAACCAAGGATAATAAAACAATAAAAAGCACTCCTTTGCAGACACTGCTACCCAAGGTAATCGAATATCTTGGTTCACGCCCAGGGAAGGATAATGGAGGCGGGGTTTCGTCCGGAGAAAGATGAGTCCTTTGGTACTTACATTTTCACCTCAAGGCAGCCTGGTGCATTTGCGGTTGTGGATCTTTTATGTCGGATATACCGGGTACTTAAGATAAAAGTCATTGATCGTCTTCAGTGTGTCCAAGACACATTGATCCCGAAACACGTACAACAGAGAGGCAGACCTGGTGGAGGTCAAATTCGCACATATTGCAGTACATTTCAACTCTCGCTGTTTTGGTAATATACTCTCTAAACATGTCCGATTCAGAAGATATGTCTGAATTTGGGTCTATAGTCGAGAGGATAACAAAAGGCGAGGTAAGTGCAAACACTACATTTTTTTACCATTAAGAACTATTAAGAATTTAAAATACTATGTGTGAAAAATTCGAATTTATTACTGAATTGAGCTTTCTGTGTGGTCCTTAATGTATTCGTTTAAAACGTAGTAAAGAAACTGAATGCAAGCAGTGTCCTTAAACGTGGTTGAACTCCAGCTATAAACAGTGATGATAATGGCAGTCATGACAGATCTAAGTACCGCATCTGTCATTTTATGAAAGCCACAAAAAAGTGGGTGTTGCCAGTCATGGAATACTGAAGCTTCCTTACAGCGGTTTAAAGCCTATTTTTAGCTTTCTGGCAGTAAAAATACGTGTTTCTTGAGGTGAAAGTTACTAGCGTGTTCAACTGGAAAGAAAAAACACAATCGTTCAGAATTGCTGGAGAAGTCCCGAAGTGCAAGTACGCATGAATATTTAGTTTTGTGCTGTCCTTACTCTGGTCCATGAAGGAGTCCGCAGTATACTAGCACCGTTGACTGCGTGTAAAAGCTGTGACTCGTTTAACAGTAATTGCAAGACAGCAAGTGCAAATTCTTTGTCTTAAAAAGTACGACATCGATTAATTTTGATGATGTGCTAGTAACATAATTTTCGTTATGAGAATACAGAAACACAGCCGTGCTACCATGGTAATGCAGATTTTCTCCAAAGGGTTGTTTCTCGCCAATAAAATAAGGAAACAATGTAACAATTGAATATGACAGGTTGTGAAGGACCGGTGAAACCGACGTCACAGCAAGGCTGGAGATAACGGCGTGGTAGAACAAGGATCTTCTGCTTTGCAGGGGACGTATTGTATTCGTATAATAGTACAAAGCAAATACAGTTCCTTCCATACAAGGAATCCAGTTCTCTCAGAAATGCAATTTTGTAATTAAAATGTGGGGGAAAGTACAGAAACCGTGCGGTTCAAAAGCCAATTAGAAATGAATTGACTTGATTTTGAATATTGTCAGGCACGCTTGTTTATAACAATATATGACTGTATACTCTGAATTTCTGAAACAAGTACCAAGTCTAAAGAATTGTCCTATAGTAAAATGGTACATAATCCATTCCTGATTTCTAAGGAAAAGAAATGAAAGATTTTAATGTGCAAACTTTTCTATTTCAGAAATTAAGACTTAAAAAATATTAATAAAATTAATAATCATTAATAATGATTTTTGGGGAATGTTTGAAAGGCATAAAGTGTACAGTATGCAGTATTACTGCCCAAGGAAAAAATCAATACATGAAGTTCACAAGATGGAAGTTTTCTACCGGGAGATAATTGCACACTAATAGAAACCATTTCACCCCAAACAGGCTTTTGTTTTCAGTAATGGACATCCACTGATTTTGCTAACTGAGGGAGTGGTACCCTGCAGTACTGCACTAGAAAAAAGTGTCCCATGAGTTACAATCTGTATACAAAATTAAAGTTCATTACAGAGGGTAAATGCATATTTCAAGTGTCCTTTTTCATGAGGTAACTGTTTAGAGGAAAATGTCCAACAGGGCTCATCACAGTATGACAAGTACTTAAAGTTGACTGTTCACATTGCTAGGAATGTATTAAATCAGAGTAACAAATATTGGAATCAGAGAAAACTAAAATAGAAAATATTCTATAGGTTTATTATGAATTTTCTTAAGTAGTAAATAAATACCAGTATGTTCTTAAATCTTTATATATATATCATACAGTATGTTTGCAGAAGGGTTAATGTATTGTATTACAGAATTGATTTCCTGGAATTAAGCTATTCACTGATTCAGCATTCCCTTGAACATGATTGATTTTTAATTTGTAAGTATGTTGCATATATGTAAGACAAAGATAAATGTGCTGAATCACGGAATGAATTCAGATCCATTGTTTTCATCATAATAATGATTTTAATGGGGTTAAGAGTTTATGTTCCTGAAGAATTGTTTTCAAATTATATACAATCTTCTCCCTGGCATTATCAAGGGGTTAAAATTGATTACTTATGTGCTGGAATAGATCCAAACAAGCGATTAGCAGAGAAGGTTTCAGATCCTATTAGTGGTGCATTGAACCACTGAGCTGCCTTTCAGGGAAAACTAAGATAATCGGGCATGACACCAGCCACATCATTGCCCCGTGCACTGTGGAGAGAAAGAACCACCCCAGATACAGAGAGATCTGAAAACTACTCTTCTGAAAAAGATTTTACCTACATTAACTATAGCAGGATTATCTTAATCCATCCTGTTTAAAATATGATAAAGTAAAAACACACTTGTAGGTGCTTTTCTGACAGGAAATATTTTTGGCATTCGTAAGTTGCTATTAAGTTTGTTTTTAATATTAGGTTAAAGTTATGATTCTCTCTTTAAATTATTTCTCTTCTTTAAAGATTTGTTTTTTAAGAACTAATGTAAGTAGTTCTGTGTCAAACATAAATTTCAGTGAACTACCATGCTTGCTATGTGGGCAAGGGATCTGATACATACAGTTATATATTGTTTTACATTTAAGCTTCTGCAACTTTAAAATATCTTTTAGAGGTTTTTCTTAACCTGATTTTTATTCAGTCTAGTTTTTTTTTTGTAGATTTTGAACATAACACCCTTTTATGGCTGGAGAAGGCAACTGTTCTTTCTCTACACATGCATAATCATATTGACTAAGCCAATCTAAGGACATACACAACATACAAAAGATGTCTAATGCATTTTACTTTAATGCAAAGTGAACACTTAAATTGAATTTAAGTTGAAGGATGTCTTGCTGTTACCATAAAATATACTACTTAAATTTCATTTAGAATGTTATCTTTAGTATTGACCACTACATTACTGAAATAAACCATGGATACACAGTGGTCAAATTAATTTCTGGGATCATTTGAATGTCACATGCAGACAGACCAAAGTGAATGAATCTCTTCAACCTTGAAGCAAAGGGATTACAAGGGTTTTCAATTTAAGTTTGCAAAATTCTCAAAACTTTTGGAAATGTCAACCCAAAGGGTTTTTTTATAATGTGCAATGAAGACACATAGACAAAGGGTCGCAAATGGAAATCTAGAGGAGAGAAAAATAAAGACAAATTATTTCATAGAAAGGGCTGTGGGCGTCCGGAACAAAGCTGCCTGTCTCAGCTGTTGAAGCTTACACTCCAAGATCTTTTTAACAAGCAGCAGGATGACATATTGGAATCAATTAGGTACTAGTAATAAATAACCAATAGGTTACATGGCCTCTTGTTAGGATTAATGCAACTTGTCATTTGTTGTCAGATTCCCCAAACCATACTCCTTGTGACTCAATGGGACAACACTTATGAGTCCACATAATAGAATACTCGGCTTTTTTTTCTAAAATCAAGCTATGTGACCCACCTTGTCCTCATCCTGTTCTTGTTTCCTCCTGTCATGTAGAGTATTAAGAATAAAAGAAAGGATAACAGTCTTAATATTGACCCTGCTGTTTCTTAATGACACAATGACATAACACCTGCAACTACTCACTTTTCTGTGTACTAATTTGCAGTTCATGTAAAAATACAATACAGTACCTTTGCCAGTTCTGACCTGAAAATGTAGTGAAGAAGTGCAACAGGTTGGCGAAACAGGGTGTGCCTTTTCATCTTTCAGCCATCCAAACTAGAATGGTTTTATAATTATGATACTGCTTTATGTACTAGATGAGAGACTGATTCATCTTAAAAAATAGCATTTCTTTTGTTTAGAACTATATTTGTTGAATTCCATCAGCTGTTTAGCTGTCCCACATGTAGGTCAATGATTACATGACATTTTTATTATATTTAGAATTTCCATTTTTTTACTCTTCTTTGTTATACCTACCTGGTGCTTTTGTAATTGCCAGTTGAGCATTTTTCACATACTGTAAGTTCAAAGTTATGAGCCAGACAGCTTGATGCAGAGATGAATGAGGGAGTGTAGTCAGAATCCGCCAACCCACCCAGCTTTGTACCACATCATGCAGTGGTTGCTGTGTCACTGAGAGTACTGAGAGTAGAGAGAGGCCTGGTTGACTAATCACGTCCTGTGCTTGGTGGTGCCAATCCAATCGTACACTGCCAGTTGGTGAATCCCAGTCACAGGCTCAAAATTGTGCTCCCTGACTGAGAGAACTGATCCTGCACCTGGGTCAGCACCTTCACTGGTCAAGCCACACAGTAACCTTTTAAAACCCACAGTAATACTATTTCCTACTTTTTATTGGCGTCTCTGATTTTTTTTCACTTGTGCTTCCAATACAGTATATCATCAATTCCTAAAAATCATGATGTTGTTATTAATATCGTTTTCACCCTCGCTGCTAAAGACAACTCTGTTTTGATGTATTATCCAAAGTCAAGTAACTTTAATCACTGAACCCTACCAGGACAAATGGACTAAAAATGTGTGGATGATAAATTAGACACAATGTGCCCATGATGACATTTACAGACTATCTTCTTGCATCCTTAGAGTAAGTGCTGGTAATTCTGATTTACATTTTTACCCCTTGATCTTAAGAAAGTATATTCTTCTGAAATTAGGCATAACAGTTCTACTCTAAAAGGCATTAATAGCTTTATAATGAATTTCATAGGGGTTGTGTGTCTGCTTTTGACTGCTGAAAATAATTCATGAAACTTTTCAGAACCTTACAAAGAGTGTTACTGAAGTCTTACTCTGGCATCTGATGGTGAAGTCACTGAAGATCTCTTCAAGTTTAAGTAGCTGTACTTTGCATTTTGCAGAGAGCCTGAGGCTTTTTTTGGGAAGCTGAAGTAGATAAAGAGGTGAATCAGATGGGTGCAACACACAGAAAACAGTTGCTGCCTATTGTTTATATATAACCATATTGTTTGAAGTACCATACCAGCTGCTCCGAATAACACATTTTCTATGTTGGCATGAATTCTGTCCATTCTCAAAGCAGTACTGGTTTTGAATCATTTCCTGTTTCTCAATAACTAATTAATAGCTTATCATCTGTTTTGACAACATTTAAAGACATAACTTGAGAAAAATCTTATCTCCACCAAAAACAGTAGTTTAAAAGTAGGTTTAGAAATACAATCTCCCTATATATCTTCAGATGGCACATTTATGTGATTTAACTTAATGTCTGAGCACTGGAAGCATAATATTATGATAAATAATTGTGGGTTTCATATTATGAAAAAGTACTGGGTTTGTTTCTCACTAGTCTTTCAATACTTGTAGTACTGAAGGTGTGGGTTCATTAATCGTTGCCACATCACAGAAAAGCTTGCACAGCTGGATTCTGTGCTCAAACAGAATTCCCTCAGGGTTGATGGGCATCAAGACTGCATTGCCACTACCCCCACCTTCACCAGATAGCGTGTCTGTGAATGGGCTTGAGACACACCGGCTGAAAGTTCCATTTACACAACATTTCACACCTAAACAAGGCTCCACGGCCGAAACATTGTGTTTTCTTTCTTCTCTTTTCAGCATGGAATAAACCTATTACTTGTTCCATAAATTTCAGGTACCATGTTGTGTGCCCATCTTTGGAATGAATACCGTCTCAAAGAAAAAGGAGTCTTGCATTATCATTTATTTCTTAATATGGCAAATTACTGTGATAACCTTCAGTCCCATAACACAGTTAAACTTGTGAAGGACTCTAACCTAGTTCAAATAAGGACAAAGTGCTTGTTATTCTTAACCCTGTCCAAAACCCTGTAGAGATATTGCCTTTTAAGGAAAATAATTCTTTCTATTCAATTCTTCTTAGAAATAATTTTTTTCTTTCTAAGAAAAAACAGCATTTCCTTACCTAAAATACCCATAATCATGTAATAAAATTCAAATAACAGATTAGATTACTTCAATAAACCTCTACTGATAAATCCTATGCACAATATATGTATATGCAAATATATTTTTAGTTCCAAGCAGACTGTGATAACTATTATTTCATTAACGTACTAGTCATTTCCCCTCCACCTCCATCAACACCAACACGCAGTACTGCCATATTAATCTGTATTACGCATTTGGGTAAAAAGTGTATAATTTCCTAGTACTAAGAGGTGTATTTGTCCATTACTGTGGTTCTAAACTATCCGAAACTCGAATGAAAGGCGAAGTGTTTCTCCTTATGTGCCCGACGCTAACTTTAAAATCAACAGATGTGTGCTTACGAAAGGTAACAAACTCGAGAAAGGAGACTTGTTTCTGCGCACTTTTTAAAGGTTATCAGAATCAATTAGCACTTCACTGCGCACGTTTTAAAGGTTATCAGAATCAATTAGCACTTCAACTAGCTACTCCAGCAGGAGATTTAAGGGGCGGGACTGCCGAGAGCGCTTTCTGCGTTATCACGTACTTAAATGAGTCACTTTTGTTTTATTACATCACGTAACACCCAGCTGTTCAAAACGTGAGAGTTTTAAATGGTTAGTAACTAAGACATAAAACTTACAGACACCCAATTTCTTAAATACGTCACAAAATAATAGTCTGCCGTCTCCTGAGAGATTCACATTTTCAAGAGACCTGCTTAGGGCCTATCGACTCATCACTTATCTCCGGGTCACCGTGTAGCTTTAACCCTGTTTGTAAGCAATTACAATTAGTGAAAGAGAGACGACAGCCAAGTCGCAAAGGCCAACTTTTCGCCTATTTTTAACATCATACTTAATACAGTAAAACTGAAACTACAGAGCTCACAGGTTACAAAGCGTCTGCCTTTTTGACGTGATCTTTAGCTAGCCTACGCATTTTGAACTATTAGCAAAAACAAACACAAAAAGAATTAACTATTAGCGATAAAACAAATAATCTTCTCAATGCTGCAAAGGTCGCAGACAAACCGGGAACCCCCTTCTTGATGCACTGAGCACAGGAGCTGTTTCTATGGAGATCTTGCCTGTGTCTCCACCCCGTCTGCTGTACTGCGGCCGCCTCACTGTTTAAAGAGCAGAGACACGCTGGTGCTCGACTGCGGAATCACGGTGCGCTCTCGGCCGGGGAACTTAATTCATTCGGCTTTTTTACTGCGGATGGGGGTTTAATTTTTAATCAGTCCATTGCTGGGAAACGTCTCCAGCGCTGTGCCTTGTGTTTACAATGTCCGCTGTTTCTCAGAGGCGTAGCTCGATTTTGGTAAGTAAATGGTTTATGCGACTGTTTCGATTTCTTGTTAGTTTTTAGCATATGCTTCTGAACCAGAGAGTGGCTTTTAACATACAAGGTCGAAGCGTGTTTTTTTTTTTAACTTGTAAAGAACCACACTCTTTTGGTGGGTATGTAAAAGGGTCCGAGCGTTATGTGGAAGATTTGTCAAGCACGTTTTCTTTTGAAATATATTGATCACCCTGATATACATAGATATGTTGATGTTCATTTATTCACCCTAACGTCGTTATTAAAGATTAGTTTGTGTGTGTCTGTGAAACAAGAAGTACTGTCTGTATTCCTTAGTTCCCTTTTTTAAAAACTGAAGACTGGATTTACAGACTTTCACAATTTAACCATGCGTCAACATGAGCTAACCAGGAATTTGACCTGTCACGCGCAAAAGTCAATTTTTCACACTTCAGCACCAAAAAAAAAAAAGAAAACAATGAAGGAATAGGCCCCCGAGGTTATCAGCCTATTTAATTGTTTTTTAAACCATTGTTGGGGCTTATTTAAGGATCAGTGCACTTCAAAGGATTGTCGCCTATAAAAGTGAACTAATAGAGACAAGATTTCTTGCACGTACTTCCAACAGTGGTCTCGGAACACAATTCGGTCAAACGAGCTCGTCAAAGCCTGCTTATTGTGTAAATAAGGGGCTGTATTTTTAATTAACATGTTTGTTACCTGGGGGTGTATTAACCTGCAAAACAACAACATCCCTCTTTCAGGTTCCAATGAAAAACATCGAGCGGGAGCTGATCTGTCCCGTGTGCAAGGAGCTGTTCACACACCCCCTGATTCTCCCCTGCCAGCACAGCGTTTGTCACAAGTGTGTGAAAGAGCTACTCCTCCTGACCCACGAGGACTCCTTCACAGATGGGGGCTCGGAGTGCTCCACCCCGGGGAGCCCCCGCTCTCGCGTCCCCTCTCCCAGCATGGAGAGACTTGACCGGCTTGTTAGATCAGGTTTGTGCCGCTCTCGGGTCTGTTTGTTTTCCTGCAGCATTTACATATGCCATTTGCATTACCGTTTCGGTTTAAGAGGCAGCTGAGGGGGGGTTTAAATGTGGGTAAATCCACAGCGGCCTGTTTTTGTCTTGTTTATCCTCAATTGAACACACCTTTGCTTTGGTTGTGCTTTAATAGTCATCATTTGTCTCACTTGTCTTGTCTGGCATGCCCCCAACCTCAACATATGTTAACTAAATCGTGAAAAGAAGTGTTATTTCCTTATTTCTACGCGAGTAAAAACTTGGAGGATGAAGTGCAGCGATTGAACATAATGAGGTGGGGGGTGGCTTTTAATTTGAACTGAGAACAGATGACTCATTTCATAGGCAAGTAAATGTACACACTTCTGATGTGGATTTTGGCAATAGGAGCGTTTAATCTTATTGAACATGAAATGGGGTTAACTTCTATTTCATCTTAAACCTGTTTGCCTTTTCTTTCATTAAGGGGGTTACATTCTGAAGATATGAAAGCAACAACTTTTTTTTTTCTCCAAGTGGAGGAGCTGACAACAGTATTGGTTAGACAAGGCAGCCTTTTTCTAAACCAAGGGTCTGTCATCTCCCATGTAAGGCACAGCTGCAGAGTGTGTGAGGAGAGCAATTCTGGCTTGCACTGCCTGAATGCATTCATTCTTCATGTGTGCACTGCAAACAAGACAGGAGCTTGTTCGCTGGTAGACTTTGGAGAGCAAAATGGCCATTCATGTTGAAGACTTCTGTTTGTTTTTCAAACAGCAATGTCTTGTTTTGCCACCAGTACTGAACAACATTCTTTTAGTAGCAAACTGAGTTTAATTTAATGTATATTTTAGGAAATATTTATTTTAATATGGGAGAGAATTGGGGAAAAAATACAGAAAGTCTTTAATGTGACTGACATTTATCCTTTAAAGGTGTGTAGGTCAGACATGCTCAGTCATGTCAAAGGGCAGACTGTTGAAATATTAAGGAACAAGTAGAGGTTAATTCCAGCTGGGAAGAAAAAAGTCTGGCTTTGCAGAAGGCTCACTAAAATTTTCCATCTTTTTTTTCAGCTTTCAACATGGAACTAACCCCTGCTTGTTCCTTCGTAGCTTAATTTGATTTTCGGTTGAAATGTTTCTGAATGAACTTTTGTTAGTAGTATCCTAAGCCACTGTTTCATTTAAAAACTTCACTTGGTGAAAGTGAAGGTCAGTGCAGGAATGCCTGATCTGCATTCAGTTCACCTGTTTGTGGCTGCCTTGATGATGGTTATAAACATTTGCTTGTTACTGGCAAGGGATGCGTTTGAATGTTAACTGATGTGCAAAGCCAACCTGTGCATTTTGCCCCATTTAGCATTTTACTTTATAGGTTTTGACTGTAACCAGTAAGTAACAAACTAAAAATGTAGCATTGTGTTAAACCAATATCTGAAACACCCCACAGAGTCTAATTTCTGAAAATATCAATGCATAATCTAACATTTCCACTAGTGTTTTTAATGATTGAGCTACAGTTATTGTATAGAACCTGAAGAGCTCTTCCAGTGATTTACCACTTAGACTCTTCGTATCTCATGAGCAAGTCTGAATATGAACGGAGCAACATTTAAAAAGGTATTTGTTACTCTTTTGTTTCCTTCAATTTCGCTGGTCGAGTTCTGGCTCCGGGGAGGTATATCGGTCTGAGTTGTGCTGTCAAACCTGTGTATCTTACTCCAACTTTCTGTCCGATTGCAGCCTCTCTGCGGAGGTCGTTCGGAAGGAGAGGTAGAAATGGGTTCCATTTTTTATATAGCTGTAGTGAGTATAGTGTTTTTAGATTTCTGTGAACACCCACATAATATAGTTTTATGTACACACAATTGACACAGTAGTCAACCTTGTGAAACAGTGGTCAAGCAATTAATTATTTTATGGCAGTGTAAAGGAGCGTCGATCTTCATTTGCCTTCCCTCTACTCTTAGCCTTTCTGCTGGCTCGAATTTTCTTGATATCTAATTAGTTCAATTGGGTTTTGTTTCTGTAATTCTCATTGTCCCAAAGTGCAAATCCAGTGTGCATCTCCCCTTCAAAGTGGACTATAGCATTTATAGAACAGTTAATCTTGTTTTTCTGGAATAGTTTTCTGTTTTCTAACTTTGTCAAAAACTGTGGACGACCCAATTTGCTGGAATCATTTTAAGTTTTGGAGACAAGATGACCTGAACAAAATCTTCAAACAGAAATTGAATACTCTTTCAATATTTTGATTAATTGCTCTTCTTTTTAATTATTTCCTTACAGTTTCAACATTTCTAAGAGCCTTAGGGTTAAATTCTTACATATGTCTTGCAGATTTATAACATAAAATATGTGTCCACTTTTTTTTTTAAAGCACCTTCCACGGAGAATGCACAAACACCTTTTATTGCCGTCATGAGATAGTTTATTTTTGTATCTGATTTGACCCTTTTCTCTGCACTGTAAAGCACATCTGAGTCTAGATGCACCAGAAGGACGTAGCTCACTGTGATGCGGGCAGTATCCGCAATTTTCCTCCCTGCCCTGCATACCTAAGAGTCTTAAGTACACCATTATTATTTTAATTATGTGACATTGCTTCAAATTGACCACTACCAAGTCATTCTTCATGGCACACAAGATCACACTTGTCTGAATAACCATGTTTGTGTTCACAGCATGTCCATTATGTGCTTGTTTGTCGCTGATGTGCTGTAAAAATGGCGATGTAATATGCATTGCTAGTTTTCATTTTTTTTGCTTGCTTTTTTAGCTTTGCTCAGTGTTGTGTGCTTGTGCTTGCAGTGTATTTCAGTGTTCTGACATGCAGTTTATGTTGATCAAGGCAAAGACCAGTTTTGTCCTGTATAAGCTCAGCCTCTGTAAACATATGATGGCATAATGCCCTTGTATCTGAAAGATGGATGTTTGTGACAGTGGACACTGGATTCTACTGAAAAAAGAATGTTTAAGACAGTGAGAAGCCAAAATCCTCTTACCATAGTCCCATTTTGTGTGAAATGAATTGCAGAGATGTATTTTCAAAGGTCTCAATCTTATCAAGTCAAGCTTCATCAGCCTTTTCTTTTGTGGCTTTTTATTTTCAAATTGGAGAGATTCTATATAAAATGAAATAATTAACGTTTAACTAACTTCAAGCTGCTTCATTATTATTCTGTTGGAATTGAGGGGCCCCAAATCTTAAATTGATCATCGAAGAAAAAGAAGACTGTTATCTGTTGTTGATCTACAACAGTTTACAAGACTTCAGATGTGTTTTGGGGCTTTATCAGATGGGGAGGGAAAGGAGTATGTGCTGCTTCGCAGGAATTTTCAAAGAATCAAAACAGAAAGTAGAAACTAAATCTTACTGCTGTTAGGATGGAATAAAGTACTCTGTAAATTTATACTCTAATCTCATTCCCTATTCACAACCAGATTTAATATCAAGGTAATGGTTCCAAAAAGACCCCCTACAGTAGTCTTCAGAATGCCTTAAGACCTTCTAATTTGTTGTTTTAAACAATGCCAAATTTGTCAAAGCCCCTTTGGAGGATGAGAAGTAATCATATTACTTCAGGCATTGTTGACACCCCCACCTGACACGCACACACACCCTCTGGAAACAATGCTTCATTGAAATTCAACATACTGTAGTTTTCAGCCTGGAGGTTTTTTTTCTTTAATTTTCATCTTAAAGAAACCGGAAAGTTAACTCTTGAAAATCAGGTTAACTACATCTCTTCTAATCGGTGTGCGTTCCCTGGGTCAGATCACTGACTACTAAAAGCCCTTTCTGTCTATAAAAGCCTGCGTGAAAGAGTTGGTCAGCTGAGGTGCCTGAGAATGTTGTTTTATAGCCCCTGTTTCTATACTCCTTCTCCCCCCTCTGATTTGTTCTTTCGCTGTTCTGTGTAATTAGGGTCAAGTACCCCGTCAGGATGGAAACGCAACTCCCTCACTCCTCGGATTACCATGTTTCCGTGTCCGGGATGCCAGCACGGTATCGATCTCGGCGAGCGAGGTATCAGCATGCTCTTTCGAAACTTCACCCTGGAGGCCATCGTGGAAAGGTACAGGCAAGCCGCTCGGGCTGCTGTGGCCATCATGTGTAACCTGTGCAAAGCGCCTCCCCAGGAGGCCACCAAGAGCTGCATGGACTGCAAGGCCAGCTACTGCAACGAGTGCTTCAAGGTGCACCACCCCTGGGGAACTCCTAAAGCCCAGCACGAGTATGTGGGCCCCACCACCAACTTCAGACCCAAGGTACTAGTCACTATCACCCCCTTTAACCCACGAAGTCCAGTGTACAGTAATGAATTAGTCAGTGTGCCCCCTAGTAGTATCTGGAAAGCCCAGCACTGGTTTGCTTCAGAGCTGTCATATACAGTTTTGATTTTTTCTGGCAAAGCAGATTCCTTGAATTTGGTTTCTATAATAACAGTGTGGGAAAAAAAACAGTTATGCTGCCATGATTTAATTAGAGCTGATATCTAGTATTCCTGTCATTGAAGATTCATACTTGGCAGTTTGGCATCTGTGTGGCCTTTAGGAATACTTGCTTAACACTACAGTTGTAGTACAATTGTAAGGAGTTAGGTTTTGGCTGGGTACTAATTGTAATAAACTGGGATATGTATTCTGAGGGGACTGTATCCACACAGACTTTTTCTGGGTTCTCTGGTGCCTCCCAAAGACATGCTGGCTACACTAATGGGTGTAGCTGAATTGTTCCTGTATGCCTGTGTGTATCTTGCAATGAACTAGTGTCCTGTCCGGGTTGTTGTCCTGGCTTGTACCTGTGCCCACTGGCTTGTCTCCAGGTTGTAAGAATCCCTAACCAGGAGTACGTACAGTAGCTTTCCAATAATGGATCGGTGGGTTGTGCCATGTTTCTAGGCCTGTAGGTTACAGAAAGGATAAATTGGAACACCTTCAAAAAGAGTTATCATTTTCCCCTCCTGTGTGTGTTATTGTATTATCAGATCTTTATGCAGTAGAAATTGATGCAAATGGTTGCAAAAAATATATCGGTAGTTTCTGTTTAGTAATATAGACTGTTAATGCTCACTTTACAATAAGTGATTTCTTTCACATTTTAAACTGAAAGGGGATTTCTAACCAGTGCAGTTGTGGTGGCAATATTGAATTCCTGAATTCAAGTAGCCTTTCAACATCTACAACCTGTAACCTAGAGTTCTAAGGTATGCGTTGCAAGGAGATGTGCTCAAATGGAGCAAGAGAATATCGTATCCTTTTTGGAGCATGTCGCTGCAGTTTCTTTGCCAGTTTGATTTATATGTGTTCTTATCCTACTTGTCAGATGGCAGTTGGTGTTGATTTTTAAACCGAATTGAGACCTTTGTTCCTGACCTGCGGTTTCTCCAGGAGCCTTTGTAATCGGCTCTGTTCCAGATGTGCTCGGACAGGGTGTTACTTTGTTCCTGCTGCTGCGTGTTTGCAGGCCTGACCTGCTTTTTGTATCAGTCCCTTTGCCATGTGTGCTTCCTTAGTTCTTTGCTTGGATAGCTAGTTGCTGATCTTAATCATAGAGCATGGTTTGCTCAAAATAATCATGATCTTCTACGAAACAAATATTTTACTTCAAATGATAATTAAGAAATATTAAAACTATTAATTTAACATTGATTAGGATGCACTTGTGACATGAACAGATTGTTTAGAACGCATTCAGGCTGCAGTTAGTGATTTTTACCGTAATAAGATCCCTCTTCCATTACTCAACTATGGGATTTCCGTCTGGACATCAGATCTGGCCATCTGGTTGTCTGACAGCACACATCTATAATCTGTAGCAAGCCTGCAAATTATTTTTTTTTATCACCTTGATTCTCTTTGTTTTTTTTTTCCTTTGCATTGACTCGATTGTCAAATAAGTGGTTGCAAAAAGATTCACGTGCAGGCATATTTCTTTTGTGAATTCCTCCTCTGGGTATTGTGCAGGACTTTTACTTTGCTATTCCATCACCTGAAATGTACATCTATGGGCTTCTGTCTCCCAGAGTTTTGCCGGCGTTTTGTAAGAAATCCGCCTGTAGGTCAATTAGAATAATCACTCGAGAAAATTGAAGACGGCAGCTGGCCTTGACAGAGCCAAACTGTTTGGATTTTTTGCTGAGTTTCAGCTGTTAATGTTCTACAAACAAAAGAAAGCAAAGCAAATGCCTTTTGTAGTAACCGATGATCATTGGAGATTGGCCTTTAAACAATATAATGAAATACTCTGAACAAGAATTTTATGGTGCCTGCATAACTCTGATATAACTGTACTCTTACCCAGCAATGTAGCAGATGACTGTAATCACTCCTTGTATTCTGCCAGTGAGATTGACAATTAGAAAATCTTTGTATTGTTTTTTTTTTATCGCTCTTTGACCGCTTCATTGCTACATTTGACAGAAAATGGAAAATTTATGGATCTTGTTTACTCTCAATGGCACATTCATCTTCAAGATCACTGCATGTGTTTGATCAGTAGGTAATATCACAGAGCTGCAGCCTCCATAAACCATTGTGGCCCCGAGAGGGAGACATCTGTCTAGAGCAGATTGTTGAGCTAAACTGTTGATCACCGTGGTCAAGGTGTAGTGCTTTGTCTCTGTGAGCTTCTGATAAAGGCTCAGTTACCTTTCGATAACATCAAGATAAACCGGCTGCACTGCCCTGTATGGGGCAGAGTAAAGATGGGTAGATGAAATTTTAGTCTATTCCAGTTCTTCAAATGAAAAAGTACACATTTGCTTTATACGGGCAGATAAATGTTTTAACACCATAGTGTTATTTTAAGATCTTGTTTACCTCCTTAAACCTTTTAAATCATATTTTGCTATTACAGTGTCATCCAGATATTATTATTGCATCTTTGTTAGGGTTAATACTTTAGTTTGTAAGAACAGTAATAAAGTACTTGTTGTTGGCAATTATTTGTAATGATGATGTATATAAAAACTGGATGCCTTATCGATGTCTTTTATTTTCATGACTCAATCCTATTTTTAGGATTGTTGCTCACAGTAGAGCCTGGCATCATTTGTGCGAGCACTTTGGCTTTTAGTTATAGAAGACAGAACTATAGCACTCTGAGTGGGGTCTGATGTTGTATATAACATCAAGGGTACTACCAGTGCTGAGTGAGCATGAATATGCTTGAATGTTTGGCCACTTCTTGGGGACTTAAACTACCAAGTACTCAACTTGTACTGTACAGTAAACCTTTATTGGTTTAACCATATGTGACCTTTGACAACCTGTCCTCTAGAGTATGGCTTCACCCTCAGAACTTTCTTGTAGCAGGTCGTTTAACTGTGGCTTGCTTCTGTCTCATCCTCCAAGTGCTGTGGGAGGCAAAAGAAAATGTTCTTCACTTATTTCAGTAAGCCTGTAGGCTTATATTCACTGTGTACAGGGGACAATGAAATGAGAACCCATTCAGTCCATCGTACTCACTTTTGATTTTTAGAAGCTTAGTGGTTTGAGAACATCATCCAGCTGTTTGAAAGAGAGCCATCCTTGACAACACGGTTGACTAGGTTTTTCCTAGACACCCACACCCTTTTTCTAAAATACCTTCGTATTTTCTTAGCATTAAATGCACTTCTTCCCTTAATTTCCTTTTTTTTTGGTTCATGTTTCATTGATTCTGAAGATGTCCATGGGGTTATGAAATGCCTTTGAAGATTTTTAACATTTCAGTCCCATCTCTTTTTGTTCAAGATTGAAATATGTAGTCCCTTCAGCCTCAAGGATCAAGACGCTCCTCTGGTATATACCAGATTGTTCTTTTTCTGAACTGGTTCCAAAGCAGTCTTTTTACAAATTGTACACGGGGGTCACAGTGAGCAGAGAGAGCCCCAGCAGCCTGACAGACTGATCCTGAATGCCAGCCCTTTGGGAATCCTAAGCTCAGGTCATCTGGTGAGATGATTGTACAGCTCTGACCTTACCTGGTGGGTGTATGGGGGGAACCCTCAAATCTATGCTTTTAATGCCTTTGTCCCAACATTTGTGAGTTTTTTTTTATGACCTCTCTGCGTTGTCCGCCAGATAAAAATGATGTATCAATGTAAACATCTCTCTTTCTCCGAGGTAGCTTCTTCAAGCCTGCCTTCCTGTTTTAAACTGTTTTTGTTCCTCGCGTACAATTCTTTTCTACATTTAAGGGCCTTCCAACAGGTTTGCCCAGTCTCGGGATTTCCTTTGCATCTTCTAGTGTTAGTGCCAAAATAACAGGATCAATCTGCAAGCTTCATTAAATTTACTATGCCAGAATCTAGATTATTGATATAAATTAGCTAGAAAGGAACAAGTAAATGTTTATTCCATACTGAAAAGAGAAGAAAAGAAACACAACATTTCAGCTGTGGAGCCTTCTTGAATCTTAAGAATACTATGCCTGACCCTGTGTGGTGTCACTAGTATATAGTAAAAGCTTTGTACTTGGATTCTTGTTTATTCATAAGTTGTTTAGGGTTATTGTCTGTTCAAGATTGTATAGTTTAAGAACTGTTGCAGCACACTCGGTGAATCCTACTCTGGAAATTGAGATTCAATCCAAATGTCACCATTGTCATTGTACTTTAAAAGTTAGTTACACGATGTTTGCAAGCATGGAACTTCACTGGAAATGTAAATAATCCTTGTCTCCAGTTTTATCTTTTTTAAAATGATGTTTGCATGTATTGCAATTTGTTGTATAAATGTCATTCTGTGAGGAACGTAAAAGTAGAGAGACTTGAATTGTTTTGAAAACGTCTTGTTTGGCAATTGGGGGACTTTAGCAGCAGGCCAATATGCATCTGCTGCATAATCAAGAGCAATTAAAAAGCAAGGCTCATTGTCTGCATGCTGACAAATGAAGCCTAGTTTTGTTTCCTCTTTAGGCTGCAAAGCGCTTAATTTGAGTATAATGAAGAGAATCATATCGGGTACACAGATTGCTGAATATTTTTTATTTACTACTAAAACTATGGACTGCTTAGCCACCTCCTGTATTTCACAAGCCTTTATTCAAAAATACTTTACACCCAAAGATTGGTCAATCATATAAAAGCAGACCATTATTCTCATAATTTTGCTCACTTGTATTTATTTTAGTGCATGAAGCTGAAATAATTGAAATGCCCAAAAATGGAGGGGAGAAAAACTGCACAATGACCATTGTGTCTCAAAGTGTCTGCAAAGATCCCTTTTTTTCAAGTTTGATATCTTCTAGGAATTTAGGGCATTTGGCTTTGGGCTGATCTAGAATATGTTTTACAAGTGAGTACGTTTGCATGCATCTAGTCTTGTATTTTAACCTGATTCAAATTTCTCAGGAATATCTGCTTTTGTTCTCAAAATTAATTTTTAAGGTGCTGATGTGTCCAGAACATGAAATGGAGAAAGTCAACATGTACTGCGAAGTTTGCCGAAGACCCGTTTGTCATCTTTGTAAACTCGGCGGCTCTCATGCCAACCATAAAGTCACATCCATGACCAATGCCTATAAGATTCTTAAGGTATGCTCTCTAAAATGAAAACATGAAAGTTAATAAATGCATCATCATGTTGATATTAATCAATTTTGCACTTTCAGAAGCACATTTGTCATCTGAAATTGCAACCCATGTGCAAATTACAAACCCTGCAGGCTGTTAAGAATTCCCAAATCTCATTCCTGTTTTATCACTTTGGAAGTCATATTTTTTGAGTCATACTCCAAACCATACAAGCAACTTCCATTAGGTCTTTCTGGGTGACTCCACAATGAAGAAAACATACCTAGACAGTCCTGCCCTCAGTTAATGGGTTTGTGCATGTAGTTTCCTGTGCCATTT